GGATCCGGACAGGGGAGGGTGAGAGGCCTCCAGAGTGGCTTTCCATTGGAGGAAGGAGGTCTGCCACACTGTCTCTGGGACAACACTGAACTGGGGATGAAAGAGGACGGGGCAGACTCCATCTCCAAGGGCAGAATCAGAGCGGTTACTGACGGGCCCTTTGGTAGAACCAGGGACCTCCCAGCTCTGCTGGCTCGGCTGCCTGCACAGGCCCCTCGCCCAGGGGGTGGCCCCTGCAGGGAGGGCCTATGAAGAAGGCGGAGAACAGAAACCCCATCAGGATCCGCCCGATTCCTGCCCACTCACCTGACAGGCATCTCTTCTGTATCCTCTCAGTTTCCCAGGAGGGCACCATCATAGTCCCATTTTACAGATGCAGAAGCTAAGGCACAAGGTCACACAAGATTCAAATGGCAGAGCACCGCTGAGGAACTGACCCAAGGCCATCCAGGGACCCTACCCCTAGTACAGGGACCAAGCAAGTTTACCCCTTCCAATCTCTTTCTGAAGCAAATATTCCCTGGCAAGGGGGAGGGGGGCCCCTCTCCTTGACCCCAGAGCCCTGATGCAGACATTGCCCTCCCACCGTGAAGACTAAGACCAGCAGGCCCCACACTCTTTCTCCTGCTCCCTTCCCTGCATGTCCTTTCCTGTGTTAAATCAAGTCACACCACAGCGGCTGCAGGTACGGGCTGGCCCAGTCTCTGTTCTCGGCCCAGAACACTGCACCGCAGGCTGTCAGGGCCCAAGCTGGGCCCCAGACCACAGTGGCGGCATCTGGAGCTGAGGAGTGGGCAGGGGATGGTGATGGGGATGCGATCAGGATGCAATCAGGATCATAGCAACAGCTTGAGAGGCAAGAGCCAAGGGCAGCTCCGAGTCCCTAAGACCCACAGCCCCAGTTCGCCAGGCTCCTGGTTGTCCTCTCCCACCCCGCCTCACCTTGCCTCGTCCCCTCCCCTCTGCCCCCTGTCAGCTCGAGGGAAGGCTGCTTCCTGTCTCATCGAGCCTGACCACTCACCAGCTGTGTAACACTGGGTTCCACACTTCCCGGCACCTCGGTTTCCCCACCTATAAAGTGAAAGTGGGTATGAGCATGGGCAATGATTATAAACATCAGAATGTGGTAGGTGGTCCCATTAGGAGTTCCTCTGAGCTGCACCCTGCTGGGGAAGCTGGGACACGGGCCAAGGAGATGTGTCCGCTGTTCTTAGAGCTCAGAGCCCTGGGGTGGCGGGGCAGACACGCCATTGCAGATGGACAGTCACAGTGCTTCTGGTGCGGGAAGGGACAGATGAGCGCTCAGAGGCCGTGGGAGCCCAAGGAGGGCGTGTCTGATGGACGAGGTTGTCAGGAGGGCTTCAGGGAGGAGGTGACAATGGAACTGGGCCTTGAATGTTGAACAGGACTTTGTACAGCAGAGAGGAAGAGAGCAATCATCTCATAAAAAGGCTCAAGGGTAAGAAAGAACCTGACCCATTCAGGGAGGTTACTGACACTCATTTCTTCATTTATTTAATTTTATAAAAATATTTATTGAGCATCTATTACATGCCAGGCACTGTACTGGGTACTTGATATATTGTATTCAATTTCATCTTCACAGTACCTGTGAGATGGAAGCCAGTGGCCCCCCACTCACCCAGTTTTATAGATGAGGGGCCTAGCATTCAGGGATTAAATGACTCACTCAGGGGGACTGAGGCAGTAAGGTATCCACCAGGATTCAAATCTGAGTTTGGCTCCAAGAGTCCTGTCTGAAGGGGAGCCAGCATTTGGGATTTACGTGTTCTAGACCTGACCACTCAGAAACAGTCTTGGTACTTAACATGGGGACCTCCTAGAACCTGTGTAGCATTCTCAGGGCTCAGGCTCAGCACAACATTTCGTTCAAAGAAACACAGTCCGACACCCCACATCATTCAAAGCTTTCTTCATGACACTTAAAGAATATCAAATGGGGCCCCACTTGTAACGCAGGGAACCCCTTTTAAAAGTCCTCTTTCCTCTCCAGTTATCCTTGTGGCTGCTCTAAGGTCTCTAAGTGGCCCTTCCTTCCCCAGGTCCCCCACCATCCTTTCTCCCAACCCATTCAGCCCCTTTCTGTTTTCTCACCCCTCTGACCCATTTTCCAGATTCAGCATCGCGTAAGTCAAGGACCTGGGTGGAGACAGGTTGTGGCAGATTAGGGGGAAGAGGTGGGGAAGGGAGCATGTTGGCCCCGATGCACTAAATTCAGCCCCTTTCACCACCTCGGACCCGCCCACACTGTTCCTGAGGCCACACTCTTGCTTCTCATACTGTCCTGGACACAGTGTTGGTGGCTTCTTCCCTGTCAAGTCTCTCCCAAGTGTTTTCCACGGTCTGGTGCCCACTCGAGGCTCAGCTTGGGATGGTTGGATGGCGGATGCCCCGCAGTATTTGCTCTGGTCCCCAACTGTCACCAGGATGGCCCTGGGCTCCTCCCAGGAGAAAGCTCTACACAAGCACTTGTTGTACCCCTATGTCCTTCAGACACCCCAAACTCGTGTGCAGACCAAACACCTCTCTCTGGAGGCCTCAGCATCCTCCTCTGCAAGATAATAGTGCACCTGATAAGGTTGTTGTGGGATTAAATGAGATCATGGATATGCCTGGCACATTGTCAATGTTCAATGAATTTCAGCTGCTCTTACAATTCTTCCCGCACTCCCCAATCTCCTCTGCAGCTAGGTTGTGGCTCCTTAAGGACAGAGTGTGCCTCGTCTTGGCATCCCCAGTGGCAAATCTGGGGCCTGGAACGCAGTCAGCGCTTATCAATGCTGGACGTATTGATGAAAATATGCATTCATTGGACTCCCAAGAATTTCAGGTTTACTGTCCCAAGAGGGATGATGTTGTTAAGGGGTCAGTTCTGAGTGAGTTCGCCTGTGTTATCAACGTTGCTCATCCAAGCAGCACTCCCAGCCCAGGGGCAACCCAGGAAGCCTGGGGTGGACAGCAGGGGCTGGGGGAGAAGACTGGGTTGGATAAGATGCCCTTGGCAAGACCACACCCCAAGATGAACGGAACCTTAAGTCCAAGTTCACCCCACATCTGGGTGCTTGTTGCCTGAAGCTGCATTCCCCAATCAGCATTCCGGCCAGGAGTGAACCAGGAGGAGTGTGGGTGGCCTGAGGCAGGCTCAGGAAATGAGCTTCACCATCCTGTTCTGCCCCGTGAGTAGCCAGGCTGTGCTGGGGCTACCGGGACAGGAACCGGAGAGAAGGCAGCGGGCAAGGCTGAGCTTATCTACCTCCTCCCATCAGCCAGCCTGCGGAGATAGCCAGCACTAAGCTGTCTGGGCTGGAGCCACAAAGGAGGACATAATTAAAAAGACACTCTGGGCTGGCAGGGAGGGTGGGAGCCCCGAGGAGCCCAGCCAGGCTGGGGGAGGGCCTGGAGGGGAGGGTGCCCTTCCTGAGAAACAGCGGAGTGGTCCGCACTCATTGAGCAGCCTCGTAAGTCAGTAGCCACAGGCCACCAGTCCATGGCCGCTTCGGCCGGCTCAGAGAGGAAATCCCAGAGAGAACCTGACCTCAAATGTCTACTTTACACCCCTTGTTTGACTTCCCCTCCCACCCGCCCCTCAAGGGCAGTGGTTACCGGGGAGGGTCTCAGGAGCCCGCAGAGAACCGATACCTTGTCCTGAGAAGTGCTCTGGTCTTTCACGTTGGAATGATGACGCCATCCATTCTTTCATTCATTTCACGCGCGCTGGGGACACCGCCGGGAGCTGAGACAGGCGCGGTGTGCCCTCCAGGAGCACACATTCCAAAGGGGACCACGGACAGTCCCCAAATGATCTCGCGCACACAACGGTGTCCCGACACACTGAAGGGAGTGCCCTGGTGGAGAGGCTCTGTGAGAGGCGGGCCAAGGATGCTGCGCACGGTGGTCTGGCTTCCCTGCCGGGGACCCTGAGACAGTGAGGGATGAGTAGGAGGTTACCAGTTCAAAGGGAGCCTGGGCTGAGCCTTCCAGGTAACGAAAGACATACAAAGGAAGAGGGGACACGTTGAGGGAGGGAATGGAAGCGGGGAGACCCACAAAATGTGACTGGGACTGTGGTGCCTGGTGAGCTGGAGGGGACAGCAGGCCCAGACACACAGCGCCCAGGCCACCTGAGGGACTTGGGTCTCTATCCTCGGAGCAGCAGGGAACCACCGGTGGGTGAAAGAGGGTGGGGGGGTGGGGAGACTTTGCAATGTGTGCGTAAGGACTGGACTGGACTGTTCCGGTGGGGGAGGCGGGCGGGGTAGAGCAGAGGCCGATTAGGAGCTGCCGTGCAGGTGGAGATGGTGGCGGCTTGGACGAGGATGCTGATGGCCGAAAAGGAAAGACCAGCATCCTGGATGCGTGCCAGGGCTCTTCCAGAGATAAACCCCAAACCTTAGGGGTAGGTTGGGGGAGGGTGTGGAAAAAGAGGTGCCAGGAATGACTCCCAGCCTTTTAGCCTGGCCACCTGGTGGTATCATGGCTCCCTTCACTTTGGTATCTTTTGAGGGTGCTCCTCCTCCTCCTAGTACCCCAAGTCTAGTAGGTAGATTCACTGAAATCAGAGAGGGAGGGGCCTGCGCTCTCCCAACGCCCTCCTTTTGCCAAGGCGACATGTACGGCTCGGAGGCTGCGGGTGGCGGAGGGCGGGTCAGCCCAGGAGGCCTTGTCTGTGGGGAGGATCCAGGCCGGGCGGGAGTCTGCTCCCCTCCAGCCCTGACTGCACCAACCCGCTGAGTGGATCCAGGCGGGTCTCATGACTTCAGGCCTCAGTTTCTCTCCTGCGAAATGGAATGACCCCTTCCCCTCTTGCAGTTCAGTGTTACTGTGGGTCACGGGCTGCGAAGCCCTGGGGGAAGAGGAAGAGAATGACACTCTGTCTATGGGGTCTGAAGTGAGCACACTGGGTTGGGGGTGTGGGGGCCTCTCCCCATTTCCTGCCCTCCCTGTCTCTTGCAGACCCTGAAGGCCGAGGAGCCGGCGGGATGCCTGGTCTGCTGAACCAAATGACAGGGGCAGCCCTGCCCCTCACCGCTTCTGATGTCACCTCCTTCGTCAGTGGTTACGCCCTGGGTCTGACTGCGTCCCTCACCTATGGCAACCTGGAAGCCCAGCCTTTCCAGGGTAGGGGCCCTCCTCCATATTGAATCCCCACCCCAACAGGTAGCCGATTGACATTGGGCAAGTCCAGTAACCTCTCTGTGTCTCAGTTTCCTCACCTGTAAAATGGGCACACCATTTCTGCCCAGCAGGCCTCCAACCGGGTAGCAAGTAGGGTCAGGATTGGAGCCCAGGTTTGGGCTCAGCCCTGCCAACTGCCCAGGCACTATGTAGCGTCCACAAGGCATGCCCAGCTGTGTCAAACCCTCAGGCCTCCACTTTCTCCTGGGGGCCGCGCAGAGGGAGAGGCCTCAAGACTCAGTGGAAGCCAGGAATTTCCGGCCCCAGGTGTGACTTTCCCCTGTGACTTTGGGGAAGCCACTATCCTCCTCAAAATCAGGATGTTCCTCTGCCTGTCTGGACGCCAGGGTTTGCAGGAGGAGCAATGAGGTAAATCTCGAGGAAGAACAGTGCGGAATGAAAACAGTCTGCGGACAGAATAGGAGAACAGACCAGGAATCGGTGGGTGGGGCAGTAGGGGCAGCCTTTCCACTGGAGGACAGGAGTCACGGGGATGCTGGCCTGGAAGGTGCCATGTAATGGCTGGTTGGGGCTGGTATTCTCTCTCTTTCACAGTTGATCAGGGCCTTCGAAACCCCAAGCTTCCTGTCATGGGCACTACCCTCCACACCGAAATGGATTCTGAAGCCATTTCGGTTCCCAAAAAGAACCTGTGGGAAAACCTTCCTCCAAAATCTCCTGGGCAGAGTGAATGACCCTGTTCCTCTGTTTAAGAAATCCCAGAGCCCTGGCCGGTTTGGCTCAGCAGTTAGAGCATCAGCCTGTGGTCTAGAGAGGCCCAGGTTCGGTTCCCGCTAAGGGCACGTACCTCGGTTGCAGTTTGTCCCCGGCCCTGGTTGGTCATGCGGGTGGCAGCCACTCGATGTGTCCCTTTCACGTTATGTTTCTCTCTCTCTCCCTCCCACTCTATCTGAATAAAAAATGGAAAAAAACCTCCTAGGGTGAGGATAAAAAAAAAAAAAAAGAAATGCAGATCTAGGCCCTGCCCCAGAACTACTGAATCAGAATCTGCATTTTAACAAGACACCCCCCTATCCATCCCCCCGCCGATGATTTGTGTGCTCTGAAAGTCTGAGAAGCACTAGGTATAAAAATGTGGGCACACAGCTTAATAAATGGTGGCTATTTTTATAATTTTCATGATGACCCTATGAGTTGAGCTCTGTTGTCCTCCTTTTACAGATGGGGCTGGGAGACTTAGAGAAGCTAAATGTCTTATCCAAGGTCACCAGGCTCAGAGAGGTGACAGGGCCCAGATTCAAACCCTATTTCCCCCAACGCCCAGCTCCTGGGAGCCATGGAGAGCATGTTCACACAACAGATCACATAAAGTGCGGTGTCTACTCTCCCTTGAGGAGTCAGAGGTCCTGGCCTCTCGGGCCTGCAGAGGACGGGCTGGCACGGAGCCGCTGTGCCTTGTCCAGTGGCCCCGCGGCTCACAGCCTGCCTGCTGCCCCCGACCCCGCCTGGCCGCAGAGCCCCGAGGTCCCAGCCCGAGTCCTCTGGCATCTTCTGAGTGGCAGTGAGTACCATCCAATATCTGGCAGGCCTAGGCTTGGGCTCCTTCCCAGTGTGGGGAGTGCAGAGTGGGGCTGGGGCACCCCATGATGCCAGGCTCTGCTCCGGCAGGCCTCTTCGTGTACCCACTAGACGAGTACACCGCGGTGATCGGCTTTGAGGCAGTCATCGCTGACCGGGTCATAACGGTACAGATCAAGGACAAAGCCAAGATGGAGAGTGGCCACTTCAATGCCACCCACATTCGAGCCACAACTGTCACAGGTAAGGAGGCCAGAAGGGCTGGGGCAGAGCTGGGGCAGAGTCTCAGGCAGACTGAAAAGCCAGCAATGGGATAGAGTAGAGAGAGCACTGAACTAGGAGTCAGGCACCCTGTGTGCCTTTGGGCCAGTGATCAGCATCTCTGAACCTCACCTTACTGTCTGTCAAATAGAGGGAATCTCGCCTGGTCTCATCTTGAAAGCACAGTGAGGATCAGAAGATGCAACAGAAGGATTTCAAAGGTATCTGATCTGTACAGAACAGAATAGATGTCGTTTAAGTTCAGAGGTTATAGAATGAGTCACACCTGGGTCTGACTCTTTATTCTGGTGCTTGCAAGTGGTGTGAGCTTAGATAAGAAATTAAAATTATCCATAAAATAAAGCTAATAATTATACACACCCAAAGCTCAACAGAGAACATGTATACTAAGCACTCATCACAGTGCCTGGTACAGACTAACTACTCAAATTGTGGTTACTCATGCCTGTTTTTGAGGATTCTGAGGCTCAGAGAGGGTGAGTGACTGGCCCAAGGTCACACAGCATGTTCGTGGCAGAAGCAGGACTTGAATCCAGACCAAATATTATTTATGTAAGAGATTCTCACCATTGGATCTATGATTGAAGTGATGTTTGTTCATCTGATTACTAAGACATTCAAGAATATTTTGATGGGCACTCACCACGTATAAGACGCAAAGTTGCCCTCAAGCTGTTATGACCACTCACGGCCTGGAAGAATAGCCAGAAATAACCAAAAGAGCAGGTGGAAAGTGACCAAAAGAGGTCTAGACAATGTCAGAGGAAGAAAAGAGGGCACAGACTGGGGGCCAGGGAAGTGCTATAGATGGATGGGTAAGACTAGCTAAGGAGGGGTGGGGGATGGGCCTTTCAGATAAAAGGACAGAGCAAGAGCAAAAGCATAGGTCCTGGGGGGAGGGGTGCTTGATTGCGATTCTTGTGGGGATGTGGAATTTACGGATGGAGATGTGACCCTCTGCTGGGGTTCTGTGGGTCTAAGTTGCCCAGTCCCAGCAGGATACAAGTCCACAGGCCTGGCGTCAGACTCATGCAGATCCAGGTCCTGGTTCAACATGTTAGTTATTTGCTGAGGAACTTGGCCAAGTCACAACCCTGTGCTGAGCCTGTTTTCCCATCAGCGAAATGGGCTACTCAGACCCACTGCAGAGCAAGCTTAGAGGGGACTAGATATAACACATGACCGCTGCTGACTCCAGGCCTGGCACTTAGGAAACATTCTGCGAAGGGGGGTTCCCGCCATCCCTCCTTCCTGCACACTGGAAACGGTGGTTTTGGATGAGGATCTGGAGCGAATCCTGTTCGTGGTCAACCTGGGGACCATCGCCCCGATGGAGAATGTCAAGGTCTTCATCAGCACCTCCTCGGAGCTCCCGACGCTGCCCAGCGGGGCCGTGCGGGTCCTGCTGCCTGCTGTCTGCGCCCCAACCATCCCCCAGTTCTGTACCGAGAGCACCGGCCCCTCCAACCAGCAGGCCGAAGGGTAAGGAGCCCCTGCCTGGACAAGGGGACAAGGGCCAGCGTCTCGGGTGGGCAGCAAGGAGTATGTGGGTGTTCAGGGTATGCAGGGCAGCGGAGACAGAGTGGGAGGTGAGGCTCAGAGCTAGAGGCCACCCCCCAGACAATTGCTCCTCCCTGGCTCACTTTGAGAGCACTTAACATCTCCCTGAAATGCCTTGGAATGGCACGGGCCAGAAGTTCTGGAATTGGAACAGCCCGGAATTAGAATTTCCAGGCTTTATTCTTTAATGCACTTAAGACAGAGTTGAGTGTTAAGGATCCAAATCATCATGGTCCCTGCCTTTTTAGAACTCAATGGGAGAGGCCACTATCCAATTAGTTATGTGAAAAGTACAATGAAGGAAACATTCATTGGACTAAGAGTATAAAAGAGGGGCCTAACCTGGGGTCCTGGGGCCAGTCCAGGCCTCCCTGAAGAGTGATATTTCAGCTGAGAGCTCAGTGATGAGGCGGATGTAGGCACAGAAAGGAGCATTCCTGTAGGTGAGAACAGCAGGAGCAAAGGCCCTGAGGCAGCAGGCCAGGATAGCTACAGCAGGCAAGCGAGTGAAGGAGAGAGGTCAGAGGGCTGGTGCAGAGTCAGACCATGTAGGACCTGGAGGCCACAACAGAGAAGCTGGAGACACAGCCCGTCTCAGCCCAGGGGACACCAGCTTGCATGTTGCCTCTGCATTTGAGGGGCAGGACCTGGTGGAGCTGGGGACATGCACAACTTTGGCAGATGAAGGAACAAGAGGCCTGGGGGGCCCCGGTGCCCCTGAGAGGCCCCAGGAAGCTCATTCCTGCCATCCCAGCAGGTAGTTTTAGGGGTGCTCATGGGAGAGGCCTGCAGCAAATGCCCAAGGGTGAGGAGAGAAGGAGGTGTGTTCAGTGCTGGTGAAAGAGGAACTGGGGACAGCCACCATGCACAGCAGCCTTGCCGTGCTCAGTCGTGCCCTCTGACCCAGGGGTCCCAGAGGAATCCTGTCATAAGTTCGAAAAGGGGACACGGACGAGGATCTTCGTGGTGGTGGTACCCGTGGACACGGGAGGAGAACAAATAAGTACAATATAAAATACCTGCACAATAAAGCAGGTGCCCCCGATATGTATGACAGGGACCATGTAGCAGCAAAGACTTTGCTATGCAGACTTGGACAGAGCTTAGAAACACCATGTTGAGTGAAAATAAAAGGAAGTGAATGAAATTCATAATAGAATGTAATCTCTTCCACTTAAAATGCATTCACAACCACGTGCCACCGTGGATATGTGCATATTAAGGACATACATCAAAGACCTCAGAGGGTGTGCCTTTGGGGAGGGGAGGGAGGGACCAGGAGGGACACAGGAAGAGAGCCAGAAACTGGAGTGCTCAGCAGGGGACAGGCACTTTGCCCAGCTCTCTCCAAAAGCAACTGCGTCATTATTATCCCCATTTAATGGATGGGAAAACCAAGGCTTGTGCAAAGGCCCCCAGCTCCCTGAGACAGAGCAGGGATTCGAGAAGCGGTATGAGCTAGTCAGACAGGAGCCAGACAGACCCAGCGACGGGGCACGCTTGCCCAGTCCTGGCTGCAGGAACTTTGGCTACTTGCCTGCTCTTGCTGAGCCTCGTTTTCCCATGTGGGAAATGGGGAGACGAGGGCCTGTTGCTTTTCCCTGGGGGTTCACCGTGCAAGTGCTGTGGAGTGTGGAGCTGACCCCAGCCCAGCCCTGTGAGGCGGCGGTGCATATGTCTGAGCCCAGGCTCCCCCTGGGGTCAGGTTGAATGGCTGAATGGGCTGGGTTTCAGGGGTGCAGGACTGTCTGAGACTCACCGTCCTCTCACTCCGCACCCACTTCCACCTTGGTCCTGGCTGCCGCTCCCCTCCCCCTCCTCGCCCTCCTCCCCCTTCCCCCTGCTCCTCTCCCCCCTCCCCCTCCCAGCAGAGACAGGCACTGCTTCGGCCCCGACGCTGAGACCCTGCGCTCCTGGAACAAGCTGTGCCTGGCCACTCTCCTGGACACTGCCGTGTCCAACCCCATGGAGTACGAGTTCAGCTTCCAGCTGGAGATCCGAGGGCCCTGCCTGCTCGCAGGTGAGCGGCGCTGCCCAGACCCAACAGGCGCCAGAAAGACTCGAGGCCCTGAGTGGAGAGGGCTTCGCCGGAGCTGCCAGGAATGGAGAGGAAGGGGAGGCAGGGAAGGTGACCGGCCCGTGTGGAGCAGATCCTGAAGCACACTGAGCTCTGTGGGTCCTTGTTTCCTGCTCTCCAACTTGTGGCCCAAAGATGAACCCCTCCCAGGGACAGGTCTCGGAGCTGCCCCCTCCTCCGCCTCCATGGCTTCCTTGTTCTTGGTCCTCTCCTGGAGGTGGCACAGGTCTCGGAGCTGCCCCTCCTCCGCCTCCATGGCTTCCTTGTTCTTGGTCCTCTCCTGGAGGTGGCACAGGTCTCGGAGCTGCCCCTCCTCCGCCTCCATGGCTTCCTCGTTCTTGGTCCTCTCCTGGAGGTGGCACAGGTCTCGGAGCTGCCCCTCCTCCGCCTCCATGGCTTCCTTGTTCTTGGTCCTCTCCTGGAGGTGGCAGCACAAAGCTGCTCCCTGCTTCTCACCCTACGCAGCAGAATCCTGCCACCTGCTCCCACCCTGGAGCTGCCGGTGCCCTTGGTCCGGGGCATGTCTTGGGTACTGGACATGTAAAAGATTCCAGGTCATTCTAACATGCAGCCAGAGATGGGAGCCATGGTCCTGATAGTTCTCCTCTCGAACCCACTCGAGGTTTGAAAAGGATGTGGTTTCAGTCAAGAGCGTTTGGTCGGAGCAGCATGACATTCCAGCCTAAGAGGCATTTATGAAGTGCCCACCAGTGCAGATTTGAGCATTTCTATCTTTATGAGCCTCGATGGGGAAGCGATTCCTTTGACTCCCCCACCATGGAGCCCCATTTTGCAGATGGGGAAACTGAGGACACCTGTCCATGGTTGCACAGCAGGTCAGGAGCACTGATGGGGTTGAAGTGTCATCTCAGTGTCCCCCACCAAGCCCGTATCTCCCTCAGGGCTCCTGAGCCTATCCTGCCTTTCTGTGCCACTCAGGGGTAGAGAGTCCCACCCACGAGATTCGAGCCGATGCTGCCCCGTCCGCACCCTCCGCCAAGAGCATAATTATCACCTTGGCCAACAGGCACACCTTCGACCGGCCCGTGGAGATCCTCATCCACCCCAGCGGTACTGTGCACCAGGAGGGGCCCCTGGGATGCCTGCGGGGGCGGGGAGGTGCTGGCCCTGTGGGGCACAGACGGGCCCCCCAGTGGTCGGCCAGGGAAAGGGTAGGGGTGCGTGGCAGAGGAGAGACCAGCCTCCTAGGAAATTTGGCTCAAGCTGGTGGAGTTGAGTGTCTCCTGCCCCGGTTCTCGCTCCAGAGGCTCCAGGATCTTATCCACCCACTGGGGCATTTTTGTCCCCAGGCCAGCTGAGCAGAGGATCTTTGAAACCCAAGCTCAGTGAGGCCCTGGCAGTTCTGAACCCTCAGGGAACAACTCTTCTGTCTCTTTAAGAATTCACAAAATGTCAGGACCTGAAAAGATCAAAGCACCTGGTCCCACTCCCAGTTTACAGATGGAAAAACTGAGGCCCAGAGAGGGGCGGTGGGTCAGCCGCGGCCACTGCACGTCTGCCTTGTAGCTAAGGCGTCTTCCCGTGGCCCCAGCCCTCTTCGGGAGCCGGGCTGCGCACCCTCTTCCCACGCGGGGTCCTCCCCACTGAGGACCCCGCCCCAAGCCAAGGCCCCTGACTGACCCTCACACTCGCACCGGTGCCAAAAGTTGCTCTCGTCCCTGCAGAGCCCCACATGCCACATGTCCTGATGGAGAAAGGGGACATGACCGCAGGCGAGTTTGAGCAGCACCTGAAGGGGAAAGCAGACTTCATCAAAGGGATGAAGAAGGACGGCAGTGTGGGGCGGAAGGTGAGGGTGTCTCAAGGACAGGCGGGGCGGCAGAACCAGGTTGGCACTGGGGACTCAGTCTTCACTGGACCAGTGAGGAGACGGAGCCCGGGTGGGGGTTGGGTGACTTGCCGGAGCTCACACAGTAAGCGGGTGGCAGATCCTTGTCCCTGTTTCCCTGGGTTCTCTGGGACACGGCGGGCAGAGGCAAATGGGCTCACGTAAACTGTGAGGGCGGAGCAGGGAAGCCAGACACAGACCTTCCCTCCGCCACCCTTCCCTCCACCACCCTCCCCTCCACCATCCTCCCCTCCACTACCCTCCCCTCCACCACCCTCTTCTCCAGAAGCAAAAGGGTAAGAGACCTTCAGCAGAGGGGCTGGATGGGAAGAAACGATAGGAGACGGAGCCGACAACTACAGATTGTACCAGACCTGCTCTGGCCAGTTTGGCTCAGTGGTTAGAGCATCAGCCCGTGGACCAAAGGGTCGTGGGTTCAATTCCCGGTCAAGGGCATGTACTTGGGTTACAGGTTCGATCCCCGGCCCTGGTCAGGGTCATGCGGGAGGCAACCAATAGATGTGTCTCCCTCCCTCTTCCACTCTGTCTAAAAACCAATGGAAAAATACCCTCCAGTGAGGATTAACAACAACAACAAAACTGGGCCAGCCCGGCAGCCCGGCAGCCTCTGTCCTGCTCACGGCCCTGCTGCCAAGCTGGCTCCTGAATGCCAGGACGGGTTTAAGGACGACCCACTTCTTTTAATTGTCTCCCCTTTTTGGATGAGAAAACTGAGGTTGTGCACCCCAAAACCACTGGCGACCTGGGGAAAGATGACCCTTCTCTTGGGAGTTGGCAACTGAGCATTTAGACCCGATGGGCAGGCAGTGAGGGGTTAGGAGCCGCCCCTTTCCTGGTGGCCAGACTGGCAGAAGTTGGTAGCGGCTGAGGAGTGTGCAGGGCCGTGTAGACAGCTTCCTGCTCGCCCCCCACTGGAAGCACCTGTTTGGTGGGGGTCAGGAGGCTGTCCAAGGGAAGGAGTAGATGGCTCAGTGCCCATCATCACCACGTCACAGACCCACTGGAAATGCCTGCTCTCCCTTCCCCGCTGAGTCCCTTGGGAGAAGAGGCTGAGCCGGGTTCTCAGAGTGGGGGAGGCAACGCCGGTGGTGCTACTGAGCTCTGAGCGCTGCAGCCCGTGGACAGTGTCGGGTGGGGGAAGCAATGGGCGTCCCAGGCTGAGGCTGGGTCTCCTGCCTACCACGCCATAAATCAATTAGCTCTGGGACCACTGAAGCAAATGAGAATTAATTTGCCACCTTAGGTTGGTTGTGCAAATACCTTGTATTCTCACGAGCTCCAGGGATGACAGCGATCAGCCTGAAGCTGCGAAGAAGTGATGAGTTTATTGTAATGAGATGATGGCAGCTTGAGGGGCCATTGAGAATCCTGAGCCGGGGCCTCCTCCCTGAGAGGCCACCTCAGGAGATGCTCTTCTCCCCGGCAGATGTGGCTGTTACTGCCCTGGGCTCTGTCATCAAAAGAGCCAGGCGGGGCAGTGGCTCTGGGCAAAGGGGCTCTATGCGGAGGGAAAGTGTGACCCTTCTCCAGGGAGGGAGGCGGGCATCCGGAGGGCGAACATCGATCAGAAAGAGTGGGTGGAACAAGCTGTCATTTAGCAAAGAGGGAGCAAATGACACAGAGAAAGACACCATGTAGAAGACATGACGATGCAGTGAGAAGCAGAGACAAATAGAGACAGAGACTGAAAAACAAGAACAAAAAACCACATGCACACACAGGTCGGTGGCAGACAGACTCACACAGATTCCTTCTCTCGCTTGTTCATTCAACGAACACTACGTGCCCAGTAGATGTCGGGCTCTGTTCCAGGCACTGAGGAGGCCACACTGCAAATGACACACCCTTGTCCTCGTGGAGCTTATGTTCGCGCACAGGGAGACAGACAGGAAGTAAACAAACGAGCAGCGTCCGTTGGGAGAGGGCTGGGGATGATGCAGTGATGAGTGACGAGCACTGGCCGCTGCTTAGCCAGGTGTCTAGGAAAAGCTTCCCCGAGAACGAGACCTGTGGACGGTGAAGAACTGGAAGCAGAACAGTGGTGACGTGTTTGGGAAACAGTGTGGGAGAGATGTAGAGAGCAGAGCGGGCAAAGATGAGGTGGACAGGCAGGCAGGGGTTAGGCCAGGCGGCTTCACGAGCCGTGGTGCAAGGTACGAGGGGAAGTCATTGCTTACGCGAGAGAATGCCAAGACCGACCGCGCGGCCTGCTCTCTGGAGAATGGACCGGGAAGCAAAAGTGGAGGAAAGAGGCGAGGAAGAGGCTGTTGCATGGGCCCAGGCAAGAGAGAGAGTGTCCTGAACTCGGGTGTGGCTGTGGAGACAGGAAAGAGGACACGCGTAGGACGTGTTGAAGCTGCAGGAGGGGCGATCCTTTGCTGGAGGTGTGGGTGTGTGGGGTGAGAGAAAGACAGGAAGCATCGACAACTCCTCCATCTCTGGTCTGAACACCATGGTGGGTGATAATGTCATCTACTGAGTTGGGGAAGGGATTCAAACAGACAGAAACTGAAAGAGAGACACAAAGAGACATGTTCACCCAGAGACAGTCAGATAAAGAGACAGGAAGAGGGCACGTCAGGATGGAGAGAGAGAAAGGAAATGAGATTGATATGGAGTGAGTGGGAGAGTCAAGGAGGGGGCTCAGCATCATGTCAGCCAAGAGAACACATGAAAAGGCAAAGAGCAACGGCGCTGTTCTTCCTGTGTCTACCGGGCCCGCCTCTGCACCAGGCTCTGTGTTAAGGCCTCGAGATGCAGAAGAAACTCGGGCATGACCTACCTTCAAGTAACACACAAGCGAGAGGGGAGGCAGAGATCTGAGCATAAAGTTGCAGTGTGAGTGTGCCTGGGCCCCATGACAACCAGCAGCAGTGATGCTTAGGGACAATGACTGCCGGGCAGCGGGCTTCACAAGCATAGCATTGATTCTGTGCAACTTGGAAGACATATGGTCCTGTCCTTATTTCATAGACGAGGAAACTAAGTAACTGAGTCCACATGGAAGATGGGGGCAGGTTTTCCCAAAAGGTAAAATTTAAAGAATGAGTAGAAACTTATCAGGGGGAGAGAGTCAGTCAACCGGGGAAGCCAAGGTCACAGCCAAGATAAGCCTGAGAGTAGCTCATACACTGAGTGTGAAAGAGAAAGAAACCGCTGTTCACCCGAAGGCCTGCACATGTGCCAGGGCTTCCCCTTCGTGTGCCAGCCCAGTTTATCCTCGTAACCGCCCTGAGACAGGAACATTGTTTGCCTCGTTTTTACTAATGAAGAAACAGGCCTGGAGGAGGGACTTGTTCAAGATCACACAGCTGGACGGTGACAGGACCGGGATTCGAACCCAGGTCTTCTGCCTCCTAAGTCCATGTTTGCTGTTGCAGCCTGTGAAAGTCTAGCAAAGGGGGGAGCCAGGTGTAGTCGACCCGGAAGCCTCTCATGCAGAGCAGGGTGGGATCTTGACAAGGCTTGGAGAGTAATGGGAGACCGTGTGCGCTGCACCCTGGGAAACCCAAGTGAGAGTCTTTCTTCTCCCCCAGACAGAAATCATCCGGAAGCGCCTCCACAAGGACCTTCCCCACCATTCTGTCGTCATGCTCAACTTCTGCCCCGACCTCCAGTCAGTCCAGCCGCACCTGAGGAAGACCCACGGCGAGTTTATCTTCCTCGTCGACAGGAGCAGCAGCATGAGTGGGACCAACATCCACCGGGTCAAGGTACCAGTCAGAGGTCCCCTCCCCCAGGGTCCCGTGCCCCACACCACCTTCATCAGCACTCTCGGGTCCAAGAAGCCCCCTCCCACACCTGAACCACTCTCCATGACCACGAAAAACAACAACTTTTAAAAACCAGTTTGAACAGCCCTGGCCGGTTTGGCTCAGCGGTTAGAGCATCGGCCTGCGGTCTGGAGAGACCCGGGTTCGGTTCCCGCTAAGGGCATGTACCTGGTTGGTTGTGCGGGTGGCGGCCACTCGATGTGCCTCTTTCACGTCGATGTTTCTCTCTCTCTCTCTCTCCTCCTCTCTCTCCCTCCCACTCTATCTGTGCAAAAAATGGAAAAATGTCCTCGGGTGAGGATAAAAAAAAAAAAAAAACAGTTTGAACAGAGACACCTAAACTCAATGTGCTCCCAAAGTAAAACCTGAAGTGGTGGGAGCAGAGGCAGAACTATGGTCCATTTGCAAAGGATGAAGGTATCAACATCTTTCCTCAACATTCTACAACTCTTGTTGAATGCTTGCTCAGGCTAAAACACCCCTTTAGGTACTGAGTGGAGAGGGGTACAGCTGGATGTTGAATCCAGACAATAATCCTATGAGGTTAGTCCTGTTGCCACCATTTTCCAAAGGGATAGTCTCATCCTGAGAGTTTCAGCAACCTAACCAAGGTCACACGGCTAGTGTGGTCTAAGATTAAACCCATGTCTGTCTGACTGTCCCTATGATCTGACAGCAGAGATTCACTGGACGTGGCCCCTGCCATCAAGGAATGTGTAGAATCCAGTAGAAAAGATTTGTTCTTTGTCTTGTTTTTTTAAATGCCTAATATGTGCAAAATTCTGTGCTTGGCCATCTGGAAGGACAGCAGGATGTAGACTCAGTTCTGGCCCTCAAGGAACTGACAGTCACGAGGGGCACAGACCCGCTAGCCAGTCGTGCCTGGAGCATGGCCCCCTGCTGTGAAGAGTTCTGATGAAGGCAAAGACAGTAATAAACCTCCCCCAAACATCCGGGAGTATTTCCTCTGCCTCAGGAGATTAGCCGCCACAATTTTGGCATTATCTAATGTTCCCTTGTATTTTTAGTTGTGCAGATGTCTGTCTCCTCCTCTGGAGTTAGGAACTCATTGAGGGAAAGAACCAGATCTTTCTTCATTTCTCTTTCCCCGTGGGGCCTCGCTCTGTGTTTAGGCATAAAAAGCCCTCCGTTGAGGTTCATTGAACTGGGCTCAGGAGAACAGGGATGAGGGAGCAGGATGGGAGAGGGTTCTGTTGCCACCTGAAATGTCACTCCTTCCCCAGTTTGTGCCTGGAGCAAACTTTGTTATCCTGTTGGATAAGCAAGGGGGGGGGGGGAGGCTAGGTGGGATTTGTGATAACAGCTAACTCTTCAGTCTTGCCATGACTGGGTTTTGTCTTGAAACATGAGAGAGTAATTATAAATGGGACCCAAGTTTCTGTTTGAGGCCTATTGATTCTGGGATGTAGGACTGGTTTGTACCTTCTCCCCATCCCTGCCCACCATCAAAAACAAATGTTGGAGTGGGGAGCTGTCCACAGTGCTGGAGTGCTGAAGCACAGTCCAGGGCCCATGTGTATTTGTTCCAAAGGTGTACCAATCTGTGAGATCTCTCCACAGTTATTCTAAGTATCACAAGATCCTTAAACATCCCTTAGAGGGCATTTGATCCATTTCTCTGCCTGTTTTCAGGTAAAAAAAACCAAACGAGTCACCAAGAAGCTGTTTTTCCCAACGTCAGTGTGAGTGAGGGAGCCTAGCCTTCCACAGCCTGGTGCAGTGCTCATTTCCTTACACTGCTGATTAGGAATTATACATACTCATCCTCTATGAAAAGTTCTCTTTTCTGATTATGTCATTTCTGCTGCATGGCATAGTGAAGAGAAATACCTGGGTTCCAGGATCAATTCTGTCACCTACTTGCTATGTGGCTTTGGGTAAATGACTCTCATATTTATACTTTATGTAAAATGAGAAGGTAGGATTAATACAGGAAAGACAAACATATGTCTGTCAGACGTCCCTCTGTTCCCCTCTCCCTAGCCCAGATAGACATCAATAATTAACTATGACTTTATTTTCACACTGAATCTGGACTCAGACTGCTCATCTTGGTGTTCCAGGCCATTACTATCAGTTCTGTGGAATCGGTTCACGAGTGGAAATCCATTTCCTGAGCCAAAGACCTTTCCAACCTTGACATTCCAGAATTCTCTGACAACTTCCTCCAGGCCCCTCTCAGTCTCTTTCCCCTTGGAATCTTCCTTGCTCACTTTTAGAGTTCAGCTCACTGACCTCAAGGTCACCCGCTCACAAATGGCTTTGCATTGGCGCAGTCCATTCTGCTGCAAGTCCCCCTTTTTATAAAAAGGCACAGAAATTGCTCAGGCCACACACTGCTTTCCCCACTGACAATGAGGCCATTGGGGGGTTGCTTGCATCATTAATCGTGGCCCATTAGGTTGAAGTTTTAGGGAAAACTGGGCTTAGGGAGGTAGGAGAGAATACAAATCCAAACAGCCACGCCGAAGGGGAAAGTTCAACCAATTTAATTTCCTGCAGCTGGCCCCATTCTTCAGCTGCCACTTTCTGCCAAAAACATGGCTTTGAAAATTCTAATAGGTGCGAGCAGAGACGATCTGTATGGATCAGCGGCGTCTCCCACAAGCAAGGATCTACATTAGAAGCTAATGAAAAAATAAGCAGATACGGACTTCTTTCACAGAGAAGCAAAATGTATTGACACAGGCAACAAAGAGAGACAAAGAGGACATTAACGTTAATGCTTGATGTTAGTGTTGACAGAGGGGGTGGGAGAGGGCTGCAGGTCCTTATGTGCGGAAGATGCCAGAATCCACTTACAGCTGTTTGCTTCTAGAGTCTGCAGCGGAACAGTTTGTTTCCCTGAAGCCACGCCGAGATCCTTGGACTGCCATCAATAAACTACACGGGCATGAGGGAGAGCCCGCCCCCCGCCCCCCAGTCCTGAGCTCTGTGCCAAGGCAGAGCCAATGTGAACAAAGAGCTCGGAGCTATGTGTTGTTTTTTTAAAGCTTCGCCTTTTTAAAAAGAATTTTTAACTTTAAATGGATTTTTAGAGAGAAGAAGGAGAAAGGAGAGAAAGAGAAACATCCATGTGAACAAAACATTGATCAACTGCCTCCTGCATGCCCCCTACCAGGGAATGAGCCCACAACCCAGGCAAGTGCCCTGACTGGAAATGGACCCAACAACCCTTTGGTGCTCAACCAACTGAGCCACATAGGCCAGGGCTCAGAGCTGTTTTGAAAGCCTCTGTCCTGTTCTTAGATTTTGTGATCCAACACATTTCTTAACCCTCTGAGCCTCAGTTTCTTTATCTGTAAAATAGAGGTATTAATATTAATATGTATTAATATGTTATTTTGGGTAGACAAAAATAACCATTTGCTGACTGCTTACTATGTGCCAGGCTGAGGCTCAGAAGACTGACATAATTAACCCAAGGTCAAGTTAGCAATGGCAAATGTAAGATGGAAACCCAAATATGTTTAACATCAAAGTGAATCTTCTTAACCACTCTTGTAGAGATTAAATGAGATAGTTAATATAAAGTGTTTAGCAGTGTTTGACATACAGTAATTGCTTGATATGTATCATTGCCTTGTATCATCATTTCCCTCTTGTCATCTCCTCCACCTTTCTTCTTTGTCACTGTTGTTTCCAATATCCCTTTATCAAGCTCTCCTGGTGTCACATAGCTAAATAGGTTAAGACTATAATGTTCACAGACTTTGGAGGCAAAGTGACTCGTGCCCAAGGCCTGGCTCCACCGTTTACTCTCTGAATGCTCACCAACAAGCCGTTCGCCTCTCTGTGCCTCAGTGTTCTCCTGTATGAAATGGGGATAGTATTGTGTCGGCTTCAAGGGTTATTATGAAGATTTTACGAGGTAGTGTGGGTAAAGTACATCCTGATAATTCAACAAACGTGACCTAAAGAGACTGTCCCAAAGTGATTCGTCCCTAGTTCATGATAATTGGGGTGAATTCTGCTACAAAGACCCTGGATGAGAGCCAGAAGCCTGTCCCATCACCAGAGCGGCATGGACCAGGCCACACGCCTCCCTTCGACATTGGTTTTGTCTTGGCAGAAGGGAGAGGGCGCGCCATGCTCTCCCTGCCTCTCAGGGTCAGCAGGAGGCGCGATGAACTGGCGAGTCATAATAGAATGCCTTTGAAAGCCAGGCTTGCTGTACGGATGAGGGATTTTATGAGATGGCTTCAGTCCAGCCTCAGCTCGGCATCAGCAGATCCCTCGATCTGGGGAGAAAGGGCGATGCCGGGTGCAGACGGGGGTAACAGGTCCTCCTGGAGACAGAGTCTGTGCTGGGACAATAACACCGGTGTGTGGTGGCAGAAGTCATAACCCCCTTCCCAGTCCTGAAAACCTCTTTCTTGCTCACCAGGATGCCATGCTGGTGGCTCTCAAGAGCCTCATGCCAGCCTGCCTCTTCAATGTCATTGGGTTCGGATCCACATTTAAGACCCTCTTTCCTTCCAGCCAGACCTACAACGAGGTAAGGAAGGGCAGGGCTGGCCCAGGAGGGGTGGTGAGGGGCAGAGGAAAGGAAGGAAAAAGAAAGAGGAGGCCTGCTCAGAAGCTGCCCCCCACTGCGGACCAGGGTGACATCCAGGACAAAGCACTAAATAGAAGCTAACTGTACAGGCAGTTTTCTGACACCTCGGCCTCCGACATCCTCCTCTTGCAAATAAAGAACATGTTGGGCAAAGTATGGGTGTGCAGAGAGAAGGGGTGCAGGGAGGGGAAACGGGATACCTAGCCAGGCCTGCCACTCACTGAAGCCTCTGCCTTGCGAGGACAATGGATGCAGGCAAGGTTGAACTGAAGAAGTGAACAGGAAGCGGTAGCGGAGTGAGTGGGTGGTAAGTGAGCTAAGAATGGGACTCACGAGGCTCGAGCTACAGTTTTAAACAATAGAACTGTGGCCCAGCAGCATGTTCAAAATGGCAGCATCTTACCCAGGTCTAGGACTAGGGAGGGGGGGAGGGAGGGAGGGAGGGAGGGAGGGAGGGGAGATGGACTTAGGGGTCACTTTTCAATTTAAAATAGCTTATTGGTTTTTAAAATACAAAAATAATATATGTTGATTATCCCACAATTTTTAACGCTGAATAATCCAAAAGAAAAAGTTTTAAATCTCTCGTGATCCCCTCAGTCAAAGAAACAAACGGAGAAACAATGTTAAGAGCTTAGAATAAATCCCTTCAGACTTTGTTCTGTGCATTTACACACACTTTCAATAACGATAGGGTTAGGTCTTCGGGAAACAACTTTTCTAACACAACAACCTATCATGGCATATTTTCATGCTACTGAGTATAAATCTGCAGCACAAGTCTAACGGCTGCCTAGTATTTCACTACACGGACAGGCTGTGACTTGTTTACCTAAACCCCGACAGTTGGGCGCTGAAGTGGTTTCCATTTTTTTGCTACCTACTGTCTTTGTATCAAAGACTTCACATATATCCTTCATGGTGCCCTTGGGATACATTTCTAGTTTTGCTGGTTCAAAAGTACATATACACTTCGACTTTTGACATGGGCCATCGCTCCAAGCATGGATGTTGGAAGAACATCTCCCCGAGTCAGAAGCAGAAGGACACCTGATGTCCAGTGAGAATCTGTCCTTGCTGCAGGGACATCCATCCGATGCCAATGATCCTTGGGCAGAAAGGACAATGATAAGTTAATGCCGGGAATGGTAGTGTGCCAGGCAGTGGTGGAGGTGTAATTGGGCAGAACCATGTCAAATAAGTGGTCACCTATTCTTCCTGTGCGTGGGGCAGAGATGAAATTGGGAACAGGACTCAGCTCTAGCGAGGTTGAACTATTATCCACGGCAGTGATTTTCAACCCGTGAGCTGCACGAATTTTTAGAACATGCAATGCCTGACTATTTGGTCAGGGGCACTGACCTCTTTGCCCTTAGAATGTCAAACAAAAAAATGACAACAACCAATAAAACAATAGCCGTCCACTGTGAATGAATCAAAATTATACCTATTTTTGTTGTTGTTGTTAGAGCTTCAAAAAAATATGTATTTTTGGTATGCCACCGAATTTTAGTAATTAGTTTATGTGCCATGGGATGAAAGAAGCTGAAAATTGCTGATCCAGGGAAACCAAAGACGCATCCCTCAGGGGGCTCGGAGTCTCCGGCCAGTGGGGACCCTGGGAGCTATCTCCCCTGCTTGGGGGCCTTTCCTGCAGGAGACCTTGGCCATGGCCTGTGATAACATTCAGAGGATGCGGGCTGACATGGGTGGCACCAATGTCCTCTCCCCGCTCAAGTGGGTCATCCGGCAGCCAGTGCACCGAGGCCACCCGCGGCTTCTCTTCGTGATCACCGACAGTGCGGTCAGCAACACCGGGAAGGTGCTGGAGCTGCTGCGGAGCCACGCCTTCTCCACCAGGTGGGCACCTGCAGGCCTGGCCCTGGGCCGCCCTGGGCTGCCCTGGGCGGGGGTTCCAGGGCCCCAGGGAAAATGCCAGGAGAGGAAAGAACCCCATAGTGCTTCGCCTCCAGAGCGGTGTGGCTGACTTCAGAGTTCGCCTTTCCCCCTCGAAAGTTCCGGAGGGATGAGCTGTCCCCACCTCTGCTCCAGGGAGCAGCCCACGTAGGAAAGGCCCCTCCCGCGGCTGCGTGGAAGTTGCGGCTGCGTGGAAGTTGCGGCTGCGTGGAAGTTGCGGCCGTGTGCGCGAGTGAATGCCCACGGTGGCCCTCTTCCCCGCCCTCTGCCTGAGGGCCGCTCGTGAGACAGCTCTGCGGGGCCACGCACTGTCCCTTCCCCATGGGGGCACAGAGGGGCAGAGAGGATGGGAAGCAGCAGCCTCTCCGCCCCTTCCCCCAGGTGCTATAGCTTTGGAATCGGACCCAACGTCTGCCACAGGCTGGTGAAGGGGCTGGCAAATGTGTCCAAGGGCAGCGCTGAGTTCCTGGTGGAGGGGGAGCGGCTGCAACCTAAGGTAGGTGGAAGGGCCCGGTCCCCCTGCTGCCGGCACCTCCGGGGCTGGGCATGCACAGCTCTGTGGCGGAGCTAGGATTTCACCGGCCACACGGCTCCCCAGTGAGAATCCGAGGCGGACGCCACAAAGCCGGCAACTCAGGAAGCTCATTCGGGACACCAGGTCCCTGGTCTCCAGGCACTGGGTCACGAGCCATCCATTGGCTGGGCGGGATGGGCTCCTGGGGGAGTCACCGCCTTGGTGCATTTGGGGTCACTTCTGGCCACGTTCCTGATGGGACAAAGGTGGCTCAGAGAGATCTAAAGGGTCCAGAAATCAAGGAGATTTTAGTCTTTTCTCCATTTCCTGCACACGGGGCACAATAACCCACCCCTAGAAAACCCGTGTCAGCCCAGGACCCAGAGACAGCTGGAGTTCGAGTGCAAGCATCTGTGGGAGGATAATGTCTGGGAAAGAGAGACGAGGAGGAAACAGAAAGGGAAGCTCTCGGTCCATGATGCACACGCAACCCCTGAGAAAGGACAGGAAGGAAGCAGCTTCGGGTGGGGCGGGCCTCGGACTGCGATGCAGGTCTGCCAAGGTCTCAGCCCGCCCAGGGAGCGACGGTGGCCGTCAGGGATCTGTGTGGGGCTGGAACACCAGGCACTAGGATCCCTGCCATGCTCAGGTGTTGCCTGGGGGCTTCCAGGGACAGGTGTGGTCTGGGCTTCAAAGTTGGGGCACTGAACCTGGAGACCGTCACCTGACAGTCTCTCTCGCAGGGATATTCGAGAGAGCTCCTCTTTGACGCCAACAATCCCCAAATCATTTTTCTCCAGCCTTGCGGAACATTTCAGGAAATCCGCCTACACGATGCCAAACTATAGCTGTCATTCATCAAACCCATATCAAGTGGCAGATACTTCAAATCCAGGATCTCCGATAATCCTCCCAACTCCGCTGAGAGTTGTGGATTACTAACTCAAGTTAACAAATGGGCAAAATGAGGCCCAGGAAAGCAAACTGACTTATTCAAGATCACCATCCAGTCCATGTTTTTGACACAGACTTTCTGTGTGCCCCGGACTCGTCACGACCCTCCTCTGAGTCTTGGGTTTTCTCAGTTATTGAATGCTGAGCTTAGAGAAGATGATGGCAAAAATCTGCTCCAATGCTGACATTCGAGGAGCCTAAGAAGTGGCATGTTCACTGGTGGGCAAGCCACCCCGAGGACTCTTGTCACTTCTTCCCTGCTCACAACCCCACATGGTCATACCCACCCGGTCTTCATGCTTCCATCCGGACATACCCCTGCTCACACCCCCCCAACCTGTGTTTTGATTCTGCACACAGATGGTCAGATCCCTGAAGAAGGCCATGGCCCCCGTCCTGAGCGATGTGACCGTGGAGTGGGTCTTCCCAGAGACCACTGAAGTGCTGGTCTCTCCTGTCAGCACCAGCACCCTCTTCCCCGGAGAACGGCTGGTGGGGTATGGCATCGTGTGTGACGCCTCCTTATACACCTCCAGTTCCAGATCTGTAAGTATCTTAGAAACGCCAGGGGTCAGTGAGGGGTCCAGAAACATGCCCACCGAGCCACCCCAGCTAGCAAGCCTGCTCGAATTGGATCTGGGTTTACAGCTGTGAGGCGTAGTTGCCAGGCCGTGGACATTCGGTCCCGGTGAAGTGCGTGGGTGAACACAGCCATCTCCGTACGTGGCCCTCCGGATCCCCGCAGCAGCAGAAGGAGGGGAGCGGGGTTCAGATGCAGAGCGCTGGCTCCAACCTAGTCCCTGAATTAAAATCTCTGAGGACAAGGCCCGGGAACCTTCATTTCACGTGATCTCCCCAAAGTGATGTTGGGGAACAATTCAGTTCAGAACAACTACACTCGGGTTTCTTTCCCCAGACACTCTGGTCAGGTCATGGCTCCTTAAAGAGTCTGTGTTTTAGTTATTTGCACAGATAATTTCTTCTACGTGGTGGCAGAAGTGGGATAAAGCAGGGAGCTTCTCAAAGGGGTGGCGTTTATGCTAAGAGGTGTGAGATTTTCTGAGAAGCTATTTCTTCACTCATCCTCCCTTTTCAGTGAATCTCTGCACTTCCCCTCAAAGGATGCATCAACTTGTTTTGTTTTAATATGTTTTATTGATTTTTTTTTAGAGAGAGAGGGAGAGAGATAGAAACATCGATGAGAGATATACATCGATCGGCTGCCTCCTGCATGCCCCCCACTGGGGATGGAGCCTGCAACCCCGGGCACATGCCCTGACCGGGAATCGAACCGGCGACCTCCTCGTCCATGGGTCGATGCTCAACCACTGAGCCACACAGGCTGGGCTCAACTTGTTTTGTTTTTAAGTAGGAGTCACAAACTCAATGCCTAGAGGGTTGGGGCAGATGTAAAATGAGTAAAGTCGACTTGCTGTAAAAATGGAAGGGGCAAATGCCAAGAGGGACAGCAGTTGTCACTGAGCTCACAGAGAGGCACTGGGGAGTAGTGAGGGATATGGCGAACTGGATCGCTCACGCCCTGTCGAAACTGGGCAGCCCTTACTCAGCTCCAACCAACTGCTGCTACGCAGGAATGTGGAGTCTGTGCTGAATGTGTCTCTAGTCTTCCAAGAGAAGTTAGACTCTTATGTGGACTTTCCAGATTTTAGAATGCTGGGGAAACTCTTAGGAACCACGGTCAGTGGTGGTTCACGTGTTATGGAGAGCAGATGTTATGTTATGTGCAGAATGTTAGGTTCAACTGCAGGGAGAATATACTAAACAAAATGCTGGCCACGTCTTGGCACAATCTAAGCCCTTCTTAGAAGTTTGGGAGGCAACTGGTGATCAACAAACCACTAGAAGGGACCGTTTCTCCTGCTACTAGCAAGGCTGCTGGATAAATGGCACCCTCGTACCTTGTCGATGTAAACAGGACTGCCCTCCTAGAAAGCAATCTAAAAATAATGACTGAAACTAGAAAGACATCAGTTTTGAACCCAGAAATCCCTCCTAAAGATCTAACACACAGAAATAAAAGTGATATTATGGAGTTACAGCCAAGGATTTATTGTAGCAATTTTTATGATGGCAAAAATACATGGCCATGTCCTGATGCCACCCCTCTCTCTCAAAATGTTGTTTGATGTTACATGAAGCAGGAAAATATTGTGAAAGACATGGTTACAGATGATTTCACAGCAAGAATATGAATTTCTCATCAAACTTAATTATTCAGAGGGGGGACAGCAATTTGTACACCTGAACTGGTCAGTTAGGTTTCTAATTTTCTTTTGTAAATTCCAGCATTTCGTATACCTCTCTTTCTTTCTTCCTTCCTTTTTCTTTTATTCTTTCTTTTAAAGAGAGGAAGGGGGGGGAGAGAGAGAGAGAGAGAGAGAGAGAGAGAGAGAGAGAGAGATTTGTTGTTTCATTTATTTATGCATTTGTTGGTTGATCTTTGTATGTGCCCTGTCCTGGAATCGAACCCACAACCTTTTGGTTTACAGAACCTGGTCAGGTTCACATATTTGTTTTGTTTTTGTTGTTGTTGTTATATATAACTTTTCTTTCTCTTTATTGATTTTAGAGAGAGAGGAAGGGAGAGGGAGAGAGAGATAGAAACATCAATGAGAGAGAACATCAATTGGCCGCCTCCTGCATGCCCCCCGCTGGGGGTTTGTTTTCATTGAACTAACTTTTTTTTTTTTATTATCCTCACCCGAGGACATTCCCTCATCTTTTGTTTAGATAGAGTGTGGAAGGGAGAGAGAGAGAGAGAAACATCGACGTGAAAGGGACACATCGAGTGGCTGCCACCCACACGACCCAACCAGGGCCGGGGACAAACTGCAACCGAGGTACATGCCCTTAGCGGGAACCGAACCTGGTCTCTCTGGACCGCAGGCCGACGCTCTAACTGCTGAGCCAAACCGGCCAGGGCTCATTGAACTAACTTTTTAAAGAGGTTTTCTGCTCCTTGTTTCCTTTTCTCCTTTGTCCTCTTTCCTGCGCCAGGGGATTTATACTTGGGTTGTGTGACCAGGCCTGACTTTCTGCTGAAGGGATGAAGGTTAACAGCATTTTCTCTTTGTGTGTTTTGTATCCTCTGTCATCAACTTTTATCTAGCAATGGGTGACATGTTGACTTTTTGACTGATAAAACATTAAATGTAAGTGTAAATGTAGCCACAAAGTGAGTGCTTGATAAAAAGCGGTGGTAGAATCTCGTACAGTCAAGTGTTTAAAAGAACGGTTGACGTGCAGGATGTACAAAATGTTTCAAGTGCCTGCTACATGTAAGAAATATGGTCCAGCTTTTGTAAAACAAAAATGACCCCCCCCAAAAAATATATGTGTATGTATATATTACCCCCAAAAGCCTTTATGTTTGTTTTTATCTTTACCTGAGGATATTTTTCCATTTATTTTCAGATAGAGGGGGAGGGAGAGAGAGAAACATTGATATGAGAGAGAGATTGATTGGCTTGATTGGCTGCCTCCCACACGACCCTGACCAGGGCCGGGGACCAAACCTCAACCGAGGTACATGCCCTTGACCGGCATCAAACCCAAGACTCTTTGGTCTGCAGGCTGACACTCTAGCCACTGAGCCAAATTGGCCACCGGGCCTTTATGGGGTTTTTTGTTTGTTTGTTTGTTTGTTTGTTTGTTTGTTTGTTTTCTCACCCAAGGACATTTTTTTCCATTTTTTGTTCAGATAGAGTGGGAGGGAGGGAGGGAGGGAGGGAGGGAGGGAGGGAGGGAGGGAGGAGAGAGAGAGAGAGAGAGAGAGAGAGAGAGAGAGAGAGAGAGAAACATTGACATGAAAGGGACACATCGAGTGGCTGCCACCCGCACGACCAACCAGGGCCGGGGACAAACTGCAACCAAGGTACGCCCCCTTAGCGGGAACTGAACCCAGGTCTCTCTGGACCGCAGGCTGACGCTCTAACCGCTGAGCCAAACTGGCCAGGGTTGCCTTCATGTTTTATATGTATGTTTATATTATGGAGAATGGAATGAAAAGAAGAGATGGTTCATTCTGTTCATTGTAGTTACCTATTTGGAGACAGAGTGGCATTTAGAATTGCATTTAAAATTTTTTTAATAAAGAAGATAATTAAAAATATAAACAATATAAGTGATATGCAGTCATTTCCATTCACCATCTCTTAAACAGAAGTCTGCCTAAATTCCCCAGGCAAGCAAAACACTTTGTTATTATTCCAGTTCTTCCCAGAGGGCCTGGCCACACTCACACGCTGTCCGGCTGTCCGGGGAGGTCCTTCCTGGCATGGCCCTCACTCCCAGCCCGCTCTCTCTCCCTCCTCCAGGACAAGAGGAGACGCTACAACATGCTGCACTCTCAGGAGTCCGGCAGCTCTGTCTTCTACCACTCACAGGATGAGGGGCCCGCCTCAGACAGTGCGGAGTGTGGCAAGAGCTTGGGGGCACCCCTCAACCTGAAGCAGGCCAAAGACGCCCGGTCATCCAGCGGAGACTCCCCCACCAATCCTGGTAAGTGCCGCTCTCTGTGACTCACTCGCTTCTGCAGAAGCCGTGTTGGCTGCATTTTACTGAGCACTTACTATGTGCTAAGCACTTTGCACAAACGATCTCATTGAAAAGTTAGCAGCTGCAGAGGTGGGCACTACCTGTTTTACAGATGAGGAAACTGGGAACGTAAGTAACTAGGAACTGAAAAGAGGTAGAGCACTAGACCTGTCTGCTCCGGAAGGCACTTTGTGGTGTTAGTTTCCACCGGGGGGGGGGGTACGGATCACCTTCCAAGCTAAGTGCTGAGCAGCGTGGGAAACAAAGGTGGAAACGGGCACCTGTTCTCCAGAAGCTCTCCGCCTAGTGGGAGAGGTACAACTGACCTTAATTCTGGTAGAAAGCCGGGTGGCAGGGGCCACAGAAGATTCTCGGCAGCACTGCCTGAGCAAAGGTGGGGTGACACCCAGAAAATACATGCAGGATGGGCTACTCGGCTGCTATGCTCGGAGCGCTGGGAACCTGAACAGAGGGTAGAAGGAGAGCAGCTGGGTGGTAGACGAGGGCCTGGGAGGTGATGCACCCCAACCTATTTCAGTGGGTGAGCAGGGGAAAACTCAAGAACTTTCCAAGCATGAAGGGGTCTGCCAGCCCCTCTCTCTTTGCCCGCCATCCTCCGCCTCCATTCTGGTGGCTCCTCTGTCACAACCTGTGTCCAGGTGCGGACCTCTCCCAGCGAAGACGGGCTTATAGCACCAACCAGATCACCAACCACAAGCCCTCCCCAAGGGCCGCCACGGCCAGCGACCCCACGATGGCTGGCAGGAGATACCCGCTGCGGAAAGCGAAGCTGCAGGACCTCACCAACCAGCCCAGCCCAGACGCCCCGCGGAGGCAGGCTGACTTGCAGGTACTGGGCAGGGCAGGTTGGAGTTGGGGAAGACCGTGGGCGGGGGTGAGCTGTGTCTCCTGCTTCAACTAGAAACATGGACCCAGCCCACAACACACACTGAGAAGTGAGTCACCTCTTCTTTCTTTTTCTGGACTTTCATCTGCCTGACCCCCAATGACACCTTCCTAACCGCGATGCCCGCTGGTCAGTGGCATCACCTATTCTCTGCACACAGCGCTTCCCGGTTGGCGAGAGGCATGCAGAGCCACGCCCTCATTGATTTTATAGCACCCCTGGGAGAGAAGGGAGTGTGGGCCTGGCCACCCTGACTCTGCACAGATGTGGAAATTAAGGGCCAGAGAGGTAAAGCGATTCATCCAGGGTCACATAACTTATCAGGAGATTAAAACTCAGGACGCTCTCCTTGCAAAGCCCTTGCATTTTCTGCAAATCCCAAGGGTTGTACATTCACCCGGGGCAGAGGTCACCTCAGAGTTAGAGCCACAGCAGGACCGATTGCCCACTGTCCAGCTGGACCCGTTTCTCAGCCTCAACACTATGACCACGACAATTCCTGTTGGGGGGCCACCTCGTGTACTGTAGAAATTTGACAGCATCTCTGGCCTCTATCAAATGAATGCCAAGAACACCACCACCCCCAGTCATGACAACTGAAAATGTCTGCACACATTGCCAAATGTCCCCGGGGGAGGGTGGCAAAATCACCAGCTTGAGAAACACTGTCCTAAACCCAGTCGGTGTCCGGTATTATCTGCACGCCTTTTCCTATTTTTTTAAGAATGGGCTTCATGTAGCTTTGCCAGGGGAATCTGTGGTTCCATAGGAGCAGCGTTTCACTCCCCACTCCCGCCCGCCGTCTCCATCATCCCTCCTCCTCCACGACACAGAAGCCCCTGTGCTCCCCAGCAGCAGAGACACTGCCACCTTGTCCCTGAGGTCCTCCTCTGTCCTTAGCCAGGGAGGCAGTGGGAAGACAGTGACCTTGGAGTCAGGCAGACTCTGCTCCTCAAACTGTTACTTAATCTCTCTAAGCCCCAACTTCTTCCCCTGTGAAATGGGGAGGAGAATAGCGTGTGCAGATGGCTGAGCTAACAGTCATCGACAGATATTTATTGGGAGCCAGCTGCAAGTGGAGGACTCTTGCAGGCATCGGGTGATAAGAGACCAAGTGCCAGGCGCAGCGCCTGGCACACAGTAGGTGTTCTTCTTGGTGAGAGCTCTGGGCAGCTTGGATTCTCTTCTCTCCTACTTGCTTCTGGCCCATCTTTGTTCGTCTCCGTCCCATCCCCTGCTTGGCTTCCTCCCTAGTCTGATTCTCCCCAACACCCTGGCATCACCTATTCTCTGCACACAGCACCTGGCATGAACACACATGGAGACACGTACATACATGCACACACTGCCTGCAGCCTCTGGCTGGCTGGAGCGCTGCACCTGAGACCAATCTGTTGCCATGGACACTAGCAGTTTCTGTTTCTCAGTGTGGTGCTGATGGTGGGGCAAAGGTGGGGGGAATTCCAGTCTCTGGTGAGGGATGTGGGTTAGGGATCCCCTGGGACGCAGCAGCCCTGGCTGGGTACCAGCTCCCACTGAGGCCATCCTGAGTGACCAGTCCCTGTCTTCTCCCATACCTGTACCATCCCAGGACGTCAGGCCCAGAGGAGTCAGGAAGGAGCATCTCAGCCCCTGCCCCAGGAGCCCCATCTAGTGGGGAGGTGCAGTCCTCTTCCCAATAAATACCTGACAGATGAAAAAGACCCCGGTTAGCTGTTAGCCTGAAAGACTGAGAAACACCTTTTCTCTTTATTACACCTAGTAACTGCCCTTGTCCCGTCTCCTGCCAGACAATGTATATGTTGTCAGACATCAAATTTGTTTCTGATTAATTTAATATTCTTTAATTACAAAAGTAATGCATACTCAGAGTTTGCAATACAAACCTTCAAACAGTTGAGTTGAGTATAAAGTAAAAAAAATAAAATAAAGTACCCCTTCCCAGGACCCAGACCACTTGGATTTTAGTGCTTCCTTCCAGAAATACACACGTGCAAACATACATGTACACAATACACATACATATTTTAAATAATCACATATACAACCTTCTCTCCAAATTACGTTTCTATTTTTTTCTTGATTCACTTTTTATATACAGTAAAAATTAATCTTTTTGGTGAATAGCTCCGTGAGTTTTGACAAATGAACACTCATGTAACCATTTCCACAATCAAAATACAGAACAGTTGCAATTTATAAAATATTTTTAAACTGATTTAAAAAATTTTTTTTCTTTATTTATTTTTAGAGAGAGAGAGAAACATCAATGAGAGAGAACATCGATTGGCCACCTCCTCCATGCCGTCCACTGGGGATCGGGCCCACAACCTGGGCATGTGCCCTGACTGGGAATCGAACCAGCAGCCTCTTGGTCCATGAGTCAATGCTCAACCACTGAGCCACACCAGCCAGCTTAAATTAATTTTTAGAGAGAGAGTACGGGAGAGGAAGAGAGAGATAGAAACATCCATGAGAGAGAAACATCGATTGGCTGCCACCTGCATGCCCCCTCTTGGGGATCAAGCCCACAACCCAGGCATGTGCCCCAACCGGAAATCGAACTCTTGGTGCGTGGGATGGCGCCCAACCAATTGAGCCACACTGGCAGGACAGCTGCATTTTTTAAAATAAGTTTTATCTTGGACATCTTCCCATGTTAATTTAAAAAAAAAACTGCCTCTTTCACTGCAGTGCTCTGTGTTCCAACACACGAACATACCATAACTTATTTGCCAACCCTTTTTGAAGCACATTGAGATAGTTTCCAGATTTTCACAAAATCCTTTTCTGTTAACCAACAATACTGCAACAAATATACAGTACATGTACATAGATATTTGCATCCTTTTATATTTCCACAGGATTCAATTCCTAAAAATGGAATTGCTGGGTCCAAGGAGCTTATGCCTTGTTAATGTTGACAGGTAGCATGTGGCTACACTGTTCTCCCGCAGGTGTGGGTCAGTGGCACTCCCACCAACAGTCCACGGGACACCACCTCTCCCCATTGACCACATTTACACATCATCAAACATTTACATATTTACCAGTCTGGAAGATGGAAAACATCGTAATTCATTTTATTTTATTTTTTTAATCCTCACCCAAGGATATATTTTTATTGATTTTAGAGAGACGGGAAAGGGAGAGAGAGAGAGAAACATTGAAGTAAGAGAGAAAGATTTATTGGTTGCCTCCTGGACCTGCTGATCAGGGATCAAACCCAAAACCTAGGTATGTTTCTGACCAGGAATGGAACCTGCCACCTTTTGGTGTATGGGTGATGCTCCAACCCACTGACCCACCCAGCCAGGACTGTAATTCATTTTAATTTAGAGCAATACTCGAGAAGCTGAGCATTTTTTCATGGGTTTATTGGATACTTTTTCCGTAAACTGCCTGTGAATGCCCTTAATCCATTATTTTATTCAGTCTATCTCCACTCCCACCAATGATTTATAAGAGCATTTTCTTTAAAATGAGCTTTGTTGCCCAGCTAGTATGGCTCAGTGGTTGAGTGTCGGACCCATGCATGAAAAGGTCGCTGGTTTGATTCCCAGTCAGGGCACATGCCCAGGCTGTGGGCCCGATCCCCAGCGTGGGGCAAGCAGGAGGTGGCCAATCGATGTTCTCTCTCATCAATGTTTCTATCTCTCTCTCCCTTTCCCTTCCTCTCTCTCCAAAAAAAATAATAATAAATAAATAAATAAATAAAATGAGCTTTGTCAGAAGAGATAAACCAAAGAACTTACATGCATATATGCATAACCAATAGACACAGACAACAGCGTGGTGAAGGCAGGGGAGAGGGTGGGAGCAGGGAAGAAGGGGTAAATGGGGGGGGGGGCATATGTAATACTTTCAACAATAAAGATAAAAAATTAATAATTTTTTTAAATGAGCTTTGTCATGCACGTTGCAAATATATTTCCCAGTTTATCCCTTCCCTTTTGATGTCTTATTTTGTACCAGCACAAGAATAGACAGATTAAATCCACAAAACAGAACAGAAAGTCCAGAAATAAAACCAAATGTGCATGAGAGCTTTGTCAGCATCGAGGTGGGGAGTAGATAAACCCTAGAGGTTCCATAAATGAACCGTATTCAATAAATGGTGCTGGAATGTGTACTGTTCGGAAAATCAAGGAAAAGGCTGGTTTCTGTTTCTTCACACAAAAATAGATTCCATGTGAATCCGAGATTTAAACAAACAAACAAAAAAATCACAAACATTCTACAGGATTTTTTTTTTTAAGTGGGAAAGACCTTTTAAGCATGACATATAAGAGAAGACATAAGGAAAAGGTTAACTTTAAACAGACACACACACACACACGTTTTAAATTTTATGGCAAAATGAGTGAGTTTAGATTGTCCATGGTATGTGATTTTCCATGGTTTCCGTGGTTTGGACTCAGTCCATGGTTTGGGATTATTCATGGTGATGTTCCTCGTGGGTAGTGGAGTACTCCGGGGGAGCTGGGATGCCCAGGGACAGAGCTGTGGCTGGGGTGGAGGGAAGGAGACCAGCCTTCTCTTCCTCTTGCCCTCCTAGCCCTTCCTGAACAGTGGCCCAGACCTGTGCCAGGGCCCCAAACTCCGGGGCCCAGGAGCCCGCAGGCCCTCTCTGCTGCCCCAAGGCTGCCAGCCCTTCCTGCCCTCTGGCCAGGAGCCCCAGGCCGGGAGCCCCATGAGGGAGCTGGAGCTTGGGTCCAGCCTGGAGCCTGCCTCAGACAGCCGCAGTCCTGGGGATGCAGGTAAGCGTCCTCAGGGCCCGGGCTACTGGGGACAGGGAGACGCCTTGGCTGGGCCTGCCTTCAGATGACAGGCCCACAGGACAGATGCCTGTGCCCGTGGGGCTGGGGGGAGTCTGCCGCGGCCCTTCTCTCCCTGAGGACCTCACCGACCCCACACTTTCCCAATCAACCTGGGCTGCCTGTGCCCCCACCCCATCCTACCCGACCCCTCAGGTACTGGCTTCCTGGAAGGTGGGTCTGTCCCACGCTTGGGAACAGCCCACGAGCCCACGCCACCCCACCTGAGTTTCAAGTTCCCCGGGAGTAGGGGTGGGAGTGCTGCACTGCACTTGCTTAGGGGTGTCTGCGCCCTGGGAAGGGATGAGTCCTCTGGGGGCGGGCCTTTGTCCCCCAGTTCAGAGCACTCCCTCGTGTCCCTCCACCCACAGAGCTGTCCCATCACCCCTCCGCCTTCGAGACCGAGACATCGTCGGACTGGGAGCCGCTGACCGAGTTCCAGGAGCAGGCCAGCTCCGACCGGCCAGCCTCCCCAGACCTCGTGCTGGGCAAGGCCGTGGTCAAAGGCCTGCGCGACAGCCAACATCTGCAATGGGAGGTGAACTTCGAGCTGGGACCCCCCGGCTCCGAGCCGGGCAGCGCGCGCGACGCCGACCTGTGGAGCGAGACCTTCCACCACCTGGCGGCCCGCGCCGTCATCCGCGACTTCGAGCAGCTGGCGGAGCGCGAGGGCGAGATAGAGCAAGGTGAGCGCCCAAGTGCGCCCTCCTCCCGGCCCTGCCCCTCCGAGAGCCCGCCCAAGCTCCACCCCACTGACCCCCTCCTCAGCTCTCCTCCCCCGGCTCCAGCCCCTCTTCTCTTCCCACAGCCCTGCAACCGCCCGATGCTCCACCTCCCAATGCAAAGCTGCCTCCAGGTGCCTCCCTTCACCCCTTCATCCCCTTCCCTCAGCACACACAGCCCGGGGCTCCACCCCCTCCTTGATCTGCCCCACCCCCTGCCTCCAGGAGCGCGCCTCCCCCCACCGGCCCAGGACTCCTCCAGCCTTCCCACCCCCACCCGGCCCAGGACTCCTCCAGCCTTCCCACCCCCACCCGGCCCAGGACTCCTCCAGCCTTCCCACCCCCACCCGGAGATCCGTCCTCTCCCCTCCTCTCCTCCCCCACCCCTCCTCACTGCTCCCCACCTGTCCCCTCCTCTGGGACCACACCTACCGTCCCACAGAACCCTCTAGACCTAGTCGGTCCACTCACTGGTCAATGTCACTTACTGAGCGCGGATCAGCCGGGGACCAGGCTTGGGGCTGAGCGCAGTGATCCCTGCCCTTCCTTACTGGTGCTTGACACAGACTAGCAGGAAAGCCGGTTTTCATCAAATAAGTATACACACAATTAATTGACCGCATTTGTCCTAAGTACTATTAAGAATAAATACAGGCCCTGACTGATTTTGCTCAGTGATTAGAGTCTCTGCCCGCAGTTGCAGGTTTGATCCCCGCCCCAGGTCAGTGGGGGTGCATGTGGGAGGCAACCAATCCATGTGATATGTCTCTCTCACATCCACGTTTCTCTCTCTCTCTCCCTTCCTCCCTCTCACTCTATCTGAAAATCAATGGGAAAGTATCCTAAAGTTAGGATTAAAAAAAAAATTCAATGGAAAAAAAAATCCTCAGGTGAGGAAAAAAAAGAGATACAGGAATACAAGAAACTGTATAGCAAGGGTGGTGGGGAGCTAATTTAGTTCAGGAATAGGGGGAAACTTTTCTTAAAAAGAGACTCCTGATATCCTGATGGTGTTCACCTGCAGAATAGATAGATATAGAGATAAATGGAGACGATTTCTATTATTTGCTATAGTTTATGCTTTATTTATATAATATGGTTTATATTTTATATTATTTGTATTGTTGTGAATATTTCAGAAATAACAGAAGTAACACCAATGAATCACTGAAATAATAATTAGTAGAAGTTGACTGTGCACACACCAAAAAGACAGTTTGCAAATCAAAAACACCCAAACCAACACATGGAATGAGGCTCAGGGTCATATTATCATAAAGCAGCAAATAGAGTAAGGAAGCAGTTAATTCTTCATGGTGACTGGTTGCAATATTGGCATTTTCAGTGGTTACCTTATATTAACCTTGGGAAACAGTTCAAGTTCCAGAGGCAGAAGCAAGAAATGACCCAGGTCAAGTTAGTCTTGCAAAATGAGCTAAATTAAACTTTGTATAAATAAACTGGTTTTGTCTGCTCAGGGAATTTTCAAGGCTGATCTCTGTTTGGTTTTTATTTTAACATTGTATAAGATGTTATTTCCGTTTCCCCTGAGCACTTCAGTTTACAAAATGTGTCTATTCTCCATGTCCTTGGCTCCTCAAGCAGCCATTTGGAGGTGGCAAGCCAGAGACTGCTCACCTGTTGCGTGGAAAGAGCTTGGGCTTTGGGAACAGACCATCCTAAGTTCTGATCTCAGGTCCACTACTAACTCGCTGTGTGACCCTGTGCTTGCCATTCTCCCTCTCTGGTTTTCTATCTTCCCTGCAAAATTGTCCAGTGGGCTAGACCAGTGGTCCCCACTCAGCCAGGAGACTCTGAAGTCCTGCAGCTATAGTCTCATCAGTCAGCCAAACTGAAAATAGAAAACACAGACAACACAGAGGGGTTCGATTTTTTAAATAACACTAGTTATTTAAAGAAAGTAACTATCTTTCTTATTCTTAGATGTCTTGCCTCTTTTACATTAGAATGTCCTTATTTTATGAAATGATAATGGATGATAATAATCTTGAGGGTTTTTTGTTTTGTCCTTAATCGGCAAGTTGGCAACCCCTGAATTTGAAGAACTTACTTTAATACGTACATGGGGACTGCTGGTCTAGGCTCCCTTCTGATTTCCAGAGCTCCCGTGGCAGAGAGAACTTCCTGAGTCCACGCCGTGACCCCAGCTTCTCCCTCCGCAGGGTCCAGCCGCCGCTACCAGGTGAACGCCGTGCACACCAGCAAGGCCTGCAACATCATCAGCAAGTACACCGCCTACGTGCCTGTGGACATGAGCCAGAGGCAGTACCTGCCCACCGTGGTGGCCTACCCCAGCTCCGGTAAGGCCGGTGGGCTGGGGGAGCGGCTGGGATATGAAGGAGCACAGACCTTGAGGGGTAGGGGCAAGGAAGAGCCCAGAAACAAAAAGACCCCCGGTGGACGGTTTAGCCACCCGGGGGCACATGAGCCCCGTCCCTTGGCTCTGCAGAGGCTGTGAAACCATCCCCCTCCCTTATCCCACCAAATAAACATAACTTCACCGAGTTTTTCCAGTTAGGACAATGATATGCACTATAGAAAGACAGAAAATGAATAAAAGTGACCGGAAGTGACAGTCATCCAGAAATGAGTACCAATTACCTCCTTGGAGTGACTGTCCTTTCAGACTTCTCTCTATGGATATCTACATGTAGAGAAACTAAAAAATATGTAATTTTGCATGATGGATCATACCAATGTGTGCTACATCTTACGAAATATGGGTGTGGAAAATATCTCTCCATGAAGGTAAATCTGTATCATTCTCTTAACAGCTGCAGAGTCTTCCGCTGCAGAAAAAATACCATCATCATCATCGTAATAGTCAATCAGACAGTGTTCCAAGGAGATAGATATATATTTTCATTTCATTCTCAGAACAACAATGCAAAGTGGATACTATTACCCCATTTTAAAGATGGGGAAACAGCCTTGGCCAGTTTGGCTCAGCAGTTAGAGTGTCGGCCTGCTGACCAGAGAGACTGGGTTTGGTTCCCACTAAGGGCATGTACCTCAGTTGCAGTTTGTCCCCGTCCCCGGCCCTGGTTGGGGTCATGTGGGTGGCGACCAGTCGATGTGTCTCTCTCACATTGATGTTTCTCTCTCTCTCTCTCTCTCTCTCTCTCTCTTCCCCCCTCTCTCCCTTCCTCCCATTCTATCTGAAGATAAATGAAAAAAAAAAAAAGTCCTTGGGTGAGGATTTAAAAAAAAGATGTGGAAACAGAGGCTGAGAGCTTAAGTAACTTGTCCAAGGTCACACAGCGGTAAGGAGCAGGTCACACAGCCGTAAGGGACAGACAGGCTTTGAACCCCAGGGACATGGCTCCAGAATCTATGCTCACCCCGCCCCTCTCCACTGCCTCTTAAGGTTTATCAGAACCTATTGAGCTAACCCTAACCACCCCCACCCTCGTATTAAACCTTCTGTTTATTCCCTTTTAAATGATTGTAAATGATGCTGCAAAGAACATCTTTGTGCACCTGCCTGGTTATCTGTTCAGGGTTCATTAACTCTCAGAAGTAAGATTGCAGACCAAGATTGCCCATTTGTGAACTATATGTACTTTTCATTTCCTGAATTACATTCTCCTGTCCTTTGTAGTTCCTTTTTTTATTTTTTTTAAGCAGCCCTCCTAAAAGAATTGTGTTTGGAAACAAAATGTACCTTTCCTCATTCCTCTGTGCCCTGCGCTCTTTGTTTGTAATCATGGTTGTTCCCTCTCAGACTCTGGCCAGCAGCCAGGCTGTTGCTCCACTGACCATTCTCACTCCCTGGGCATTGTCATCCTGAATGACATGTTTATTCAGGATGTCTGCCCTTCCCACCAATCTCTGACCATCCTCCTAGCGTCTGCAGCCACCGTCTGAGAGGTTCGGGGACCTGGCATCTATCTTAATCCAAGTCCCCCCATCCCCTCAGATCTGGATCAACACTTTTCAAAGTATATTCCAGGAAACTGGAACCCTAGTTCCCCTTTCAGTTAATGGCATTTGGCACAAAAAATAGGAAATGCCAGCCGTGGTCTGTGTGGCTGGGTTGGGTGTCATCCCATGCACCAAAAGGTTGCTGGTTCAACTTCCAGCCCGGGTTGTGGGTTCAATCCCTGGTAGGGGGTGTGCAAGAGACACATTGATGTTTCTCTCTCTCCCTTCCTCTCTCTCTAAATATCCTTTTTTTTTTTTTTTTTAAGATTTTTCATAGGAAATACCAGATCAGGAAGAAACATTTAGGGACCACTGAACTAGATAAAGCTAAAGAGCTTTCTTCACAGCAGAGTTTCTCGGAGACTTTGGGATGTTACATCCAGAGGCTCAGAGAATGGACTATAATATGCAGCTTCTTCAAAATATATTTCCTGCCCGGCCGATGTGCTCAGTGGTTGAACGTCAACCCATGCCCGAGCAGTCACCAGTTCTATTCCCAGTCAGGACACATGCCCAGACTGGGGGCCCAATCCCCGGGGGGGGGGGGGCGTGCCGGAGGCGGCTAGTCGACGTTCTCTCATCGACGTTTCTCTCTCTACCTTTCCCTTCCTCTCTCTCTAAAATCAATAAAGAAAAAAAAAATTTAGCCCTGGCCAGTTTGGCTCAGCGGTTAGAGCGTCGGCCTGCGGTCCGGAGAGACCCCGGTTCGGTTCCCGCTAAGGGCACGTACTTAGGTTGCAGTTTGTCCCCGGCCCTGGTTGGTCGTGCGGGTGGCAGCCACTCGATGTGTCCCTTCACGTCGATGTTTCTCTTTCTCTCTCTCTTCCTCTCTCTCCCTCCCACTCTATCTGTACAAAAAATTGAAAAATATCCTCGGGTGAGGATAAAAAAAAAAAAAATTTATAACAAAATGTATTTCCTCACAGAACTAGTCATTGTTTAAAGAATAACTTACAGACTAGAGTAGGGTTCCCCAAAACACATGTGGGTGTGTATCTTCATCTCTCTTCCATCCATCCCTCATTGGTGATCCCTGGGACTTCAGGGACCCGAGGCAGCAAACTGGGAAGGAAGGGAAATGGGGTGCTCCTGAGAAAATCAGCCTCTTAACTAACTAGAAAACACTGCTGCTTTCTGGACACTGTCTCAGCAGCAGTATTTACCTGGCAAGGGGGGTATTATTATCCTCACTTTCCAGATATGGAAACTGAGGCTCAGAGAGGGATCCGGCTACTACGAGATGGAGCTGGGATTCAAACCCAGGTCATTCTGGCTCCAGAGCTCATGGTCTCACCCTGTGCAGTGCCTTCCTGTCTTTGGGTAAAGACAGACTGAAGCCAGAATCGCTGCTGCCAGCCTCGGGGAGGGGGCAAACGACTGGCCCGAGCGCCCACCTGACCCTCCTCCCGTCCTCCCGAAGGTGCTGCGCTGCGGGTGGCCAGCTCGCGGGTCCTGAGCCAGGAGTGGAGAGGCAGCGGCCCCGGCCCCCGGCGCTCCCGGACCATGCTCGGGGAAGACTCGGCAGCTCGGCCTGGCAAATTTCAGAGCCCACGTAAGAGCCACCTGGGACTGTTCTGGGGCCTGAGCTCCCGAGCGACGGCATCCTCGTGTCTGAGACCCTGGCGGCCTCACTCTGAGTCTGCACTCCGGGCCCTTGCAGGACCAGGGCGAGGCCAGGCCCCCAGGCAACTCCGGGGCCTGAGATGGGCAGAGGGGCACGCATGGCCCAAGCACACGGCCCTAACAGCTCTGCTGAGAGCCCTGGGAGCCGGACGCAGCAGGGCCTCCCGCCCACGTGCCCACACCATCGCTCCCCTCTTCCCTGTGAAGGCCCCGGGCTGCTCCGCCTCCACTCTCAGCTCTCCCAGGCACCGAAGGCCAGGAACCTAATCAATAGGGGGAAAGTGAAGAGCAGACAGGCAGGCCCGGCAGTTTGGGTCCTACCGTCTGCCTCGTTCGGGATCCCCAAAAGGGTCCTTTCCACCTTCGCCTGATGGCACTGCACCTGCAGCTGGGGTCCTTGAGGACCTGTGGTTTGGCCTTTATGTGACTTTGCACTAAGTCACAGGACGGCTTTGCCTCTCGGTGTCCTGAATGTCTGCAAGCCTTTCTGTCTCCCAAAAGACAACCTAACTGCTGCACTAGTCCTACCCCCTTCTTCGTACCCTCGTGTGCACAGCGAAGACCTCCTACCTTCTGTGCACAGGAGGAAGGACACTGGAGGTCCCACCTGGCCACAAGCCCACACACCCAGATGATAACAAATGTGTTTACCTGAGGGACTATCGCAGACACTGATGGGTTTTAAAAAGGCACGTGTGTCAGGGGGTGGAGGAGCCCGAAAATTTGAGTTCCAACTCTGGTTCCTTCAGAGCCTCCAAACCCGGGGACCCTGCTCTAGCCCTGTCCCTCGGAGCCTCCAGCCTGGAGGAAATGCCTTCCTTTCTCCGTGGCTCAACTCTTGGTGGCCCACAGCTTCCATCAAAATCACAAATCCCTTCTTTTCAGCTGTCCTCTGATTCAGACCCAAGTGTCTGTGACTTAGGTTCTCATTCTACCCCAAAGCCTTTCCCTCCCCCGCGGTGACAATAGCTAACATGTGCTGGGAGTTTCCTGTGTGCTGGGCACTATCCCAGTTATCCATGGCGCCTCACCATCACCTGTGCTTGTTCCTTTTATTGTCCCCATTAAGAGATGAGAAAACTGAGGCTCAGAGAGGTTACGTGAGTTACTCAAGATCACACAGCTGATACATGGTAGAGCCAAGACTTGAGCCCAGGCAGTGTCTGCCTCCAGTGCCCAGGAGGTTAACCACCAGGGTGGTGCAGGGGAGGGTGGCAGAGGGGAGGATGGCATTCAGTCACTGGTTCCCTCCTGTGCTGCCCCCCTCCCCACCCCCGGGCACCCAATGATAAACAGAGCTTCTTGGCCCTCATGGAGCCACTGAGGGTCTCACAAGGGACCAGAGGCTCTGATGAACGTATTTGTGCATGAAGCTTTTCCCATAATTTGGTTTATTCTTTTATGGCCTAATGCCCATCACTCTCCATCTTTAAAATAATAATCCTAAGAAAACCACCTCAATTACTCATTTTGAACAAACTATGTGCAATTATTACCTCCATTTTACAGATGGGGAAGCTGAGGCTCAGAGCCCTCTGACAAGCCAGTGCCATGCTCTGGTGCCTCCAAGAGAGCTGGCACAAGCCTCTCCTCAGTGAGGCACAGACCCGGTGCCTCATGCCCACCTCTATGCCCATCTCCAACTCCTGCCTTCAGCCCCTAACCTGCTCCTACTTCCCTGATGGGTCTGTAGCTCAAGGTTTTATTGAGCACTTACTAAGATCTAAGCTCTAAGCACTATCTGTGTGTTATCTCATTGAATCCTTACAACACTGTGAGATAGATACTATTAATCTCAAATTCACATTCAAAACGTATAGAGGCCCGGCCAGTGTGGCTCAGTGGTTGAGTGCTGACCTGTGCACCTGGAAGTCACTGGTTCAATTCCTGGTCAGGGCACATGCCTGGGTTGCAAGCACAATCCCCAGCAGGGGGCATGCAGAAGGCAGCCAGTTGATGCTTCCCTCTCATCAATGTTCCTATCTCTCCCTCTCCCTTCCTCTCTCTGAAATCAATAAAAACATATTTTAAAAATATTTTTTAAAAAAAAAACATATGGCCCTGGCCGGTTTGGCTCAGCGGTTAGAGCGTCGGCCTGCGGTCCGGAGAGACCCGGGTTCGGTTCCCGCTAAGGGCACGTACTTCGGTTGCAGTTTGTCCCCGGCCCTGGTTGGTTGTGCGGGTGGCAGCCACTCGATGTGTCCCTTCACGTCGATGTTTCTCTCTCTCTCTCTTCCTCTCTCTCCCTCCCACTCTATCTGTACAAAATATGGAAAAATATCCTCAGGTGAGGATTAAAAAAAAAAAAATAAAATAAAAAAAAAAAAAACATATGAAGGAAGTAACTTGCAGCTAGTTAGTCTGTGGGGAGTCGGAACTGGGGACCAAGCACCATTGCTTGCGGTGGAGCAATGGTGGTGTCTCCGGAAGACGAAGGCCCAGCCACGTAGGGATGAACCCTGACCTTGCTGTCCCAGCCCGCCCCAGGTTCCGTGAATTCAGCCGTCACTCTCCTGGGATGGGTGGGAGGTGAGAAAGGGAGAGCGGGGTGCTCAGGCCTGTCTGGCTTTCCTCTGTCGTAGATGTGGAGGCGAACCCCACCACGAACCCCACCGCACCCCCCAGCGAGACCACGCCCCCAGGCCATGAGAAGACCCCAGCTTCCGAAGGTAAGCGCTAGTCAGCTGCTGTCTCCTTAATGAAGATGGTCACAGGGATTGATCCTTGGGCCAGGAGAGTGTTCAACCCAAGAAAGTCCTCAGTGGTTCATTTAGTCCTCAAAGCAACTCTGTGCAAAATAAATAGGAATATCCCCAATTTAAAGACAAGGAAACAGACTCGCAGAGGTAAGGCGATTTGCCCAAGGTCACGTAACAAATTGGTGACATAGCCAGGCCTAGAAGCAGCCCTCCCAAGTTCTAGCCGAGGGGCCATTCCACCCCCTCACTCTGCCCGGAACCCTCCAGCGATGTGCCGGGAAGGACACTCGATGTCCCCACGCAGGGACGGGGGGCTTGATCTGAAGCTGTCATTGCTGGGGCCACCAGCCTTCCAGAAGGTGCCAGGGGCCACCAGCCCAAGGAACTCGGAGGCCCGTTTCTTACACCTGGACCCACATATTTCATACCAGCTGGGTCTGGAACAGCAGGCAGACCCCTAGGGTGCAGGCAAGCCCCGCCCTCTCCGGGCCTGTTTCCCCAGCTAGGCAGAGCATGGGCGGGCAGGGTCCTCTGTCAGGCAACGGCTGTCACTGTGTGGCTCTCCAGGTCCCCTGCACAATCTGGCCACCAACACCCTCTCTTCCTTGAAGACCTCTGAGAACCTGTTTGGATCCAGGTATGTGGGATTCCACTGGGGGAACCCTGTACCGTCACCCATTTTGCAGGGGCTCTCCCTGGCTTGGAAGGCCACAGCAGGCGCAGCCTGACATTTAGACAGAAGTGAACAAACAGCACTGTCTTCCAGGTGTCCCGCTGCCAAAACTCCCCCTTCGTGGTTCTTCTCCCACAGTGCGGTCTCTACAAGGGCAACCACTCGACCACAGGGCTGAGCAAACTCACACTATCAAAAGAGGGCCCTAGAACGAACACTAGCCTGGTCCTTGTCCAGGTTGCTACTGACTCACTGAGGCACTCAGGGAAATGCACTCGCCAGGCCTCAGTTTCCCCAGCTGTCAAGTGAGGAGGTTAGAGGAGGTGACCCATCAGATCCCGTCTGGCCTGACTTTCAGAGGCTGAGGAGTGAGCCTGGGGGGTGGGTTGACCAGGCACACTGCCGGGATGGCCGTGGCCACTGTCCCCTGGCTCCACCCACACAGGCTGAATCTCAAGAAGTCCAGGCTGCTGACTCGAGCGGCCAAGGGCTTCCTGGGCAAGCCGCTGACCAAGGCTCCAGAGGCAACACCGGGGAGCCAGAGCCTGGACTACGTCCCACTGGTGAGTGCCCCAGACCCCACCCGCTCCACGAGGGGCCTTCCTGGGAGCCTCCTCCCACCCCTCCCGCTTGGCAAAGGGAAGAAAACCTACACCTTCGCACCCACGTAGTCAGCGGTGCAGAGGGGTCTGCACCCGGCCCCGGCCTGGGGTCTAGGAGTGTTGCTAGAAGCCCGCACCAGCATCATAAAAATTCTTTGCAATCTGCTGCCTTTTAAAAAATCCACGGGAATTGTACATTCTACTCCACCATCTATGTGTTTCTGTTTTGCAATGCATAAAAATAAGCCTTGAAATGACTCTCAGGAGTAAAATTCACACCCAAGGGACACGTGCCGCACTCAGCCAGTGCCTGAGCACTCACCCAGCGTGCCCGGCGGGGCGGGGAGCGCAGGCGCGCAGGGCAAGTCTGGAACTGAGGCGCTCGGGGGCAGCGGGCGTGGGGCGCAGAGGGTGCTGGAAGGAGGCATGGTCGGGCTGCAGGGCACCACTCGGGGCTGCCCGCCCACGCTCGCAGTGCCTTCCAGACACCCCAGGCAGCGGAGCACCACGCGGTTCACTCAACAGGGAGTCCCTGGACCAGGCGCAGCGCTAGCCCCTGGAGACAGCCTTGAACTAGGCGAACGCAGCCCCTGAGCTCATGGCGATAAGTGTCTGGTGGGGACACAGACAGGAACCAGGCGGCTCTGCTCCTTGGGCGCTGTGATGGGAAAGTGCGGGTTTGGTGAGGCAGATCAAGGGGGTGGTCGGAGGATGGAGCCTGGCTCCCTGAAGATGTAATGGTTGATGAGACCTGAAGGACGAGAGTGACAGCCGACAGCCGAGAGGAGAGAGAGCGCGGTGGCTGGAGCATGGGGTGGGAGGAGGCAAAGTCAAGGACGAACCAGTGCTTTGGAAATCACAGTTCGGACTATTCTCAGGGAAAACCGAAGCCACTGCACAGATGGCCTCCAGAGAGTGACATGCTCTATGCCGTACAGAGACCCCTCAGGGTGTAGGAAAGATGGAAGGGTTGGGGACAGGGGAGGGAGGTAGAGGAGGCAGATGGTGGACCGGACGGGTATTTAGAAAGCAGACCTGTTGGGACTCGGAAACTGATTGGCGTGGAGGGCAGAAGAGGGAGGAGAGCTGCCCAGAGCCTGCTTGATGGCAGAGGGCCGTCCCAGTGGCCGAGATGGGCCCATCTGCTGGAACAAAAGGTAGGTTTGGAGTGAATATGATGAGTTGGGTTTGGAGAGTGATCAGTTTGAAGTACCTGTGGGATAAAGGATGGAGAAGCTCAGTCAGCCTGGGTACCCACAGATCCCCCAGAAAGGTGGGGCAAGCTGGGGAAGATGAATGGTGGGCTATGTGGTCCCAGATGTTTGCATGGCCTGGGGTTCCACGGGCTAAAAAGTTTGAGGCCCACTGAGGGGCTCCCCCACACACAGGTGTCTCTGCAGCTGGCCTCCGGAGCCTTCCTGCTCAACCAAGCCTTCTGTGAGGCCATCCACATCCCTATGGACAAGCTCAAGTGGACCTCGCCCTTCACCTGCCACCGAGCATCCCTCACAGCCCGCCAGCCCGAATCTAAGACCCCCGGCCCCCAGGTGTGCACCAGCCCCTCACCTCGGCACCCCTCTTGTGACAGCTGCTCCGCAGAGCCTGCGGCAGAGGGCGAGCCAGGCTGGGAGCTCAGAGCTGTGACAGAACGCACAGGGAAGCTGTGGGCCACGGTGGTGGCCCTGGCGTGGCTGGAGCACAGCGCGGCATCCTACTTCACCGAGTGGGAGCTGGTGGCCGCCAAGGCCAGCTGGTGGCTGGGGCAGCAGGAGGTGCCCGAGGGCCGCTCGCGGGGCACGCTCAAGGCCGCCGCCCTGCAGCTGTTCGTGCTCCTGCGGCACTGGGACGAGAGCCTGGAGTTCAACATGCTCTGCTATAACCCCAACGACGTGTAGGGCGGGCGAGGGGCCGGGCAGGGGACGGGGCGGGGGCCCGGCGGGGCGCTCTGGAAGCTGTAGCCAATATACTGGTTGCTAGTAAGAGCCCTGGACTCCGGCAATCGGGAGGCCTGAATTCAATCCCCACTTTGCTCCCACCTAACTGTGCATTAAGGGCCGTGCCCCCTCTCTGGGCCTCAGTTTCCCCACCTGTAAAATCAGTGGGTGCGGTGAGAGTTAGACTAGGTAGTTAGAAGGTTCAAAGGTTCCCTTCTGCCCAGACTTGTGGGCCGCTGGGGGGTTACTGCCCCTGGGGTGGAGAGGGAGCGCGACTTGAAAATGAGTTCCCTCTGCAGGAGGAGCACTTGGGCAATGCCCCCTCAAATTAAAGGGTGGGTGAGCGAACCCCCAAACTGCAAGTAACCAGACTTACAAGCTTGCAGCTAGGCACGAGAAGCCATCTCTGCCTGCTGCATGGTGGGACAGGCACTTGTCTCCATGGTGACCATCCAGGACCCCTAAATCCCACTTACCAGAGAACCATCCTTCCTACCACTTTATAAAAGAGTCACCGAGGGCCTTTTCTTCCGGCTTGGAAGCCCTTTGTATATTTTAGTGTTGGTTTGCCAATCATTTGTGACCTCCTAGCTAAGAAGGGGAGGTGAGCAGGACAAGGGGGAGACACCCTGCAAGCCAAGGTGTTAGAATGAAGCGGCTGTCTGTGCAGAAATAGTCCCCAAAGAGTAGATGTGGAAACCAGGCAGCATCTTAAATAATTTACACACTTTCAGCAATTGCGTAATGCAGACTCTGTCCTCGTGTGCTGAGGGGCTGGAGAGGCGCCCGTGCCAGCTGCGTTCTGGGGCAGTGGGGCGCTGTCCCGCCACGCCACACCCTGGGGGGGCTTCTTTGCAAAGAGAACCGCGCCTGGCCACGTGCGCGCGGGCAGCATCAGCCAGGAGACTGGTCTATTCCAGGAAATGGAAGACTCCCGGCTTCAAGGCAGAGAGGCCCTGGGGACTTCCCTCTCTCAGGCCCTCCTCATGGTGCCAGGTGGTGACGTCTCCGTTGCGGCCTCAGATTCCCTTCTGGGTGCTGCCCAGTGACCTCCGTTTCACGACTCCCCTCGCCAAGGAAGCCCATCAGCTTGAGACCCCAGGCTGAATCCACACACCCCTCTCCAAGGCCTTAATCTCGCCTCATCAAGTGGTTCCATTGGGCCCCACGGCCTTCGCACAGACATCCGCCTCCCGGAGATCTGGGAGCCCCACAGACCAAACTGACCTGTGCAGGACCTGTGGGCTCAGGCATGTCTCCGCCTCAGGAAGACTCAAGAAATGCCCAGTCTTCAGCAGGAGCTGAGCGAGCAAAGGGGTCCAGTAGAACATCCATAGGGGCTGGAAAAAGGCAGCCCCAACAGGAAATGGTACCCTGCCCCACACAGCCCACCCCTCCATGCAGAGCCCCTGCCCCCCCCCTTTCCTGCTGAGCTGCAAAATTTCATGCAGGCCTCTCTGCAGGGCCCCTCGGGGGCTCTCACCAAAAGCTGGGGGTCCATCCCCCCGGGAGCAGACGGGGCTGGAGAGTTAGTATAAAATCTCGAAGCGGCTGGGCTGACTGCTCTGTTCTCATCCTCTGGGCAGGAGCCCACCAGGCAGTCGCCGACACAGTGCCACCAGCACCCCAGGCAGGACAGGATGCCAGTGGGGGGTGTCAGCTCAGTGTCAGTACCACCCCGAGGGATAAGGGCTGCAGGCTCTTGCTCAAGGCCTTGAGCACATGTGAGGACAGCCTAGCCACCTCTCTCCACACCTCCTCCGCCCCCAAAATAACACCTCTGTCTCTATGCAGCCAGCAGCCCCAGCTCCAGAGTAAGGAGGGGGGGACGCGGCATTCCCTTCTGGGCCCATCATTAACGGAAAGATTGTCAGGCTGACGGTTAAAACACCTGGCACGAGTTCGGGCCAGTGGCATCCCCTCGCCGGGTGCCCTGGAGCTGGGGGCTTCCCCCTACCCTGACTTTCCCAGAGTCTCTGCCTCTGAGCTCTCTTCCTCTTAGTGACCATGGAATTGCTGTAATTTTCTGGACGACTTTGAACGAGTCACATGTGCTTTCTGGGCCTCTTCCTCCTCTGACACGACCAGATTGGACTGGGCGGTCCAGCCTCCCGATGAACCTGATTCTGGGTCCCCAGGCTCAGTGTGGACAATGACTGGGGTGTCAAGGTGGCCCGGCACCTGTCCATGTGGAACAAGACACCGGGAAGGAGTAACTGATAAACCCAGCAAGGCTGTGGGAATGCCAGCCCCCTCTCCAGGGGGCGCCCTCAGACCCCGCCAGCAGCAGCAGCTGGAGCCCAGCTCCGATGCCCCGAGAAGCAGACCGCTGCCCTGCGCACTCCCTGGCTCTCCCGCCCAGCACCCAGCGGTGCCGAGGGACAAACCCTCATCGATTTCAAATAACCCAGGGGCCTTGGAGGACACACGGACAGAGACATTTTTTAAAGAACTCAGGGGCATCGTGATGGCAAGCAGTCTCGGGAATGTGCCCCCAGGACTGCCAGGCAGAGGATGGAGGGACCCGCTTTAAGGAAAAGACAAGAACCTTAAGTAATTAGCACACGCACTGAAGCTAAAGTGGTTCCAAAGGTTCTCGAGTAGGTGAACCATTGCCCCTGTGATTGGAATCAATTTGGATTAATCTGGGTTCTTATGCAACGAGGTCTTGCTTTCTAGGTCATGCAAAGGGACCTCTATGCCCTGCTGGCTGAAGAATCGGGCGAGTGCAAATGCCCAATGGCACTGTCCAACAAAGCTGGGCCTTCAGGGGGGAAAACAGTGATCAGAGAGCCAGGTAACTGAAGTGTTGGTCTACACTCCACCACCAGTGTGCTGTGTGACTTTTGGCAAGTCGCTTGCTTTCTCTGGGCCCCATTTCATCTTTTGTAGAATGATGAGGTTACACTAGATCAGCATTTCCAACACTGTTTCTTGGTGGATATGTGAATTAGCAATTCATAAGAAATTGTCTTGCAGGCAAATATGTTGGGAAACACTAGGAAAACAGATTTCTTTAGGTCAGAACAGCCTGGGCCCAGGAATATGTAAATGCGCATTGCCAGTCTCCAAGAAGGTGGCCCAGAAGGTCGCTCCCCCAGGCTATTCAGTCTGAACATGTGGGTGTAGGTCTCCCTTAGGGTTCTCCAGCCACTGACATTCAAAAGGCTTCTGTTGAGCACCTACTGTACGCCAGGCACGCTGGGGTAGCCTGGTGAGCATCTCAGAGGGGTTCCCATCCTAGTGGGAGCTCTGTGAGAGGCATTTGAAGAAGGTCTGTTCCATGAACCGCTTTCCCGCTCCCTGGCACAGGTGTGTGTGTTTGGCCACATCCGCAGCCCGTGGTCTCGCCATCTGTGGGCGTGGCCTCGGACCAGCACTGCGGAGGAGCCAGCCCCGAGCTCCCTGACACGCAGGGATGGTGTGAGTCCAGCTGACCCCAGCAGCACACGGCCTGTGCAGACAGGCGCGTCCGCGGGGCCTCCTTGTCCAGGTGGAGCAGGGGAGCCCCTACAAGTGCCTCAAGGGTCCAACCTCTGCCACACAGATGCGGTCCTCCCTCGGGGCCGCTCAGCATAGGAGACCAACTCCAGGGCCCGGGAGAACCGGCCCCAATCTCCAGCAGACTGACGCCGGACTTGGGGATGGGCCGCCGGCTTCCAGCGGCACTTGTGGTTTCCCCACTGCCCCCTACCTGTGGACAGAGCAAACGACATCTGCTGCCCCCGCTGCTGTGACCGATGAGCGTGGTCCTGGTTCCAGGCTAGCTGCTGGGCGGTTTCCACCTGTTCCTCGGGTGTCCCAGAAAGCAAGGGTTCCTCTCCCTTCCGGCTGCTTCACCTGGAGCAGCTGTCAGAAAAGGCTTCTAGAAGTTTCTCCTCAACCCTGACTTGCCCCTGTTGGCCACGGCCCTTATTGGAGGGCTGTTTCTTCCTCTCCTTGCTACTGTTCCCCTTTCTTCCTTGGCAGAGACTCCCATTGAGAGGAAGTGGGAAAGGGGTCTCCCCCAATCTGCGTGCAGCCCACCCCGGGCGACTGGCCGCCCTGTGCCCCTGCCCGGCTGCAACCCGTGGGACCCCCAGCACCTGCCACCGCGGGTCCGAGTGCTGCCCCTCACTCCAGCATATAGGAGCATCCCTGAGTGGCCCCCAGATGCAAACACGTTCCATATCCTCAGTGCCCTGGGGAGAGGCAGAGAGGGCAGTGCTGCCCAGGGATGGGTTGTGTGTTCACCGCCATGGCATCTGGGAGAGCAGTTCCCCTACCCATCTGGCGGGGACGAGAGACGTCACCCAGGAGAGAACGGTGCTGGCCACTGCGCAGCGCTTTGAGCCGGACAACTGCTGGGCAGAAAGCTGCCCTGAGGTCAGGAGCTGGCAGCCCCTCCTGGCCAGGCCCCAGCCCCTACCGTGGGGCTGCCTGCACCCCCTGCTCGCCGGCCCCCAGCCCGGTGACCTCAGCCTCTGAACAGCACTCTCCAGGTTACCTGGCAAAGCGGGATTTCCCCTGTTCATGCTGCAAACCTCCCGGCCCGGAGCCAGCGGGCCTGAGCTTACAGCTGCTTCCCACGGCAACGCGCCTCGGCTCATTGTGGTGACCAGCGCAGTGCAGGTGGCTTTGGCTCAAGTGGCATGGCCGGTGCTTGTCCCCCTTGGAGCCTCAAGTGCCTACAGTGTGCTGCCCCAGCCCCTTGCTGCTCACCCGTAGGTCCCTGTGGTACCTGTGACACTTCCTGTTTGTCACCTGTCTGCCCCGTAGCTAGGTAGACACCGTGGGAGTTCTGGCCGTCAGCCGCCTGACTCCACCAGTGACTCGGGACTCGCCCTGGGGCTGTATGACCATGTCTGTCCTCAGAAGAGTGGCCTGTCTGTGAGTGGTGGCTGCTGTTCTCGTATCGGCTTTTCGTTCATAAAAACTGTTGAAGCTGACAATGCGACAAAACGATCCTTGTGTCTGCTCTT